AAAAAAAGAAGAGAAAGAGGAAGGAGGAGTCTCAGAGGCCCATGGGACAATAACAAAAGAACACATGTTTGTATCCTTGGAGTCAAAGCAGGAGGGAGCACGTGGGACTGAAACACTATTTGAGGAAATAATGGCTGAAAATCCTAAATTAGGCAGGAGACATAAACCTACGGATCCAAGAAACTGAGCCAACTCCAAAACGGTTCTGTCCAAAGACTGCTATGGACTCAATGCTTGTGTCCCCCCAAATCTCTATATGAAGCCCCAACATGATGGTGTTAGGAGGAGGGGCCTCTGGGAGGTCACGAAGAAGGGGCCCTGTGGTGGGGTCAGTGCCCTCATTGTAAGAAGAGACCAGAGACCCTCTGTGCTGCGCTCCCTCTGTCCCGTGAAGACACGACAAGAAGACAGCTGTCTGAAGGTGAGCTTTCGTCAGTAACCAAATCTGCCAGCACCTGATCTCAGACCGAGAGATAAAGGTGGTTGTTTAAGCTCCGGTCTGTGGTGGTGTTACAGCCTGAACTGATGAAGACACCAAGACACACCGGAGCTCGATTTCTGAAAACCAGAAACAAAGAACGACTCTTGAAAGCAGACAGAGAGGTAGGGCACCTGAGTGGCTCAGTCGGTTAAGCGTCCGACTTCGGCTCAGGTCATGATCTCATGGTCCGTGAGTTCGAGCCCCACGTCGGGCTCTGTGCTGACAGCTCGGAGCCTGGAGCTGCTTCAGATTCTGTGTCACCTCTCCCGCTTGTTCTCTAGCTGTCTCTCAAAAGTAAATAAACATTTAAAAAAAAAAAAAAGTAGACAAAAAACACTCATATAAGTAATTCCCCATAACTTGTGTTTAGGGAAACACAAATTTGAATGGCATCCAATTTCCCATGGAAGCCGCCAGCAGCCAGAGAGAAGCGGCACTCTCTCCAGGTGCTGGAGCAACAGGACCACCCCCGCGTAATCCATATCCTGTGAGAACGTCCTCCAGGAAGCAGGAAGGACAGCATTTTCTCAGAGGAAGAAAAATGATGAGAATTTGTCACCAGCAGCAGACTAACTATGAAAGAATGAGCAAAGAAGGTCCTCAGACAGAAAGAAAATTATAACAGAAGAAATCTTGAACTTGAAAAAGCAAGAATAGAACGAATAAAAATACAACAGGTAATCCTAATGAATTTAAAAACTCCTATTTGCTCACTGAAGCAAAGTTAATAAACACATCTGATATGGTGCTCAACATAAGTAGAGAAAATACAACAATTATCCTTTAAATGTAGGGAGAGGCAAGGGGGCTAAAGGGAAGTTTGGCTCCCATACGTCACAAGGGATAAAGCTTCAACAGCCGCGAGCGAGCTACAGTACCACGTGCAAGCTAGTGCCTGGAGGAGCTGCACTATAACTACACCAGGTCCTTAAAATTATGCAAGTGACCCAATGCGCGGGGGGGGGGGGGGGGATAAGAAAGATGTAAAAGAGGAACAAGACACAGAGAAAACAAGTAACAAAATGAGAGACTTAGGTCCTAACATCAATATTTACCTTAAAATGTAAACGGTCTCAACACTAATTAAGGCAGACTGACCAAATGGATTTAAAAAACACCATCCAGGGGGTGCCTGGGGGGTCAGTCAGTTGAGTGTCTGACTCGATTTTGGCTCCAGTCATGATCTCCTGGCTCGTGGGATCGAGCCCCACATCGAGCTCTGTGCTGACCCCATGGAGCCTGTTTGGAATTCTCTCTCTCTCTCTGCACCCCTACTCATGTGCAAGCACTCTCAAAATAAACATTAAAAAAAAATCATCCAACAATCCAACAATTCCTTATCTATTAAGAAGCCCACTTCAAATACAATGGAATAAATAGACTGAAAGTTTTAAAAGATAGAAAAGACAGACCACTGTAGACATTAATGAAAAGCAAGCAGGAGAGACTATATTAATAGCAGATAAAGTGAATTTCAGAATAAGGAAAATTACTAGAAACAAAAAAGATATTACATAATGATACCCAGGTCAATCTACCAGAAAAACAAGATGATCCTAAATGTGTATGCACCAAATAAGAGAGCACCAAAATATATAAATCAGAAGCTGACAGAGCTAGAAGGAGAAATTGACAAATAAGCAATTATAATTGGGGACATCAATAACCACCTTCCTCAGCAAGAACACAGAAAAACTGAACAATGCCATGAACAAACAGGGTCTGACATAAAATACTCCACTCGACATCAGAACAAGTGACTTTGGAGCACTTACCACAGACTGTATCTGAGGCCACAAGACAAACTTCAACAATTTAAAAGAATTAAAATCATACAAAGTATGTTTGTTCTGGGGCACCTGGGTGGCTCAGTTAAGCATCTGACTTCAGCTCAGGTCATGATCTCACCATTTTTGAGTTCAAGCCCCACGTTGGGCTCTGCACTGACAGTGTGGAGCCTGCTTGAGATTCTCTCTCTCTCTGCCTCTCTATCTCTCTCTCTTTGTCCCTCCCGATCTCTCTCTCTCTCTCTCCCCCCAAATAAATAAACATTAAAAACAAAACCAGAGTGTGTTTGCTCTGTGACCAGAGTGGAATTAAACTAGAAATCAGTAACAGAAAGACAACAGGTAAACCTCCACAAACACTTCGAAACTAAGCAACAGACTTCTAAACAATCCACAGATCAAAGAGGAACTTCAAAGGAAATGTTTTAAGTTAGCTGAACTACATGAAGATAAAAATACAACATATCAAAATAAACGAGATGCAGCCAAGACAGTGCTGCAAGGGAAATGTGTAGCACTAAACACTCATAGGAGAAAAGAAGAAAGGTTTCAAGTCGATAATCTACATTCACAGCACAAGAACCTACACAAATAACAGCCAAAATGCACAGTAGGAAAACAAAACAGAAGGGTAGAAACCAATCAAAGTAAAGACAGAAAAAGAAAGGAAAAAAGCCAATGAAACAAAGAGCAGGTTCTTTAAAGAGATTAAAAAAATTGTCAAACCTCTAGAAATACTGACAAAGAAAAAGAGAGAAAGCGCGAGTTACCAAGCTCAGGAGTAAACAGGAAACATTACTGCAGACCTTACGGACATCAAAAGGATGATAAAGGAATACTACAAACACTTCTGCACATGTAAACTCCACAAGTGAAACGAGATGAACCCATTCTTTGAAAAACCAAGCTACCACAATTCAACAAAATATAGACAATTTGTAGATAATTTGAATAGCCTCATAACCATTAGGCAAACTGAATTTGTAATTTAACAAAAATCCTCCCAAAGAAATCTCAAGACCCAGATAGTTTCACTGGAGAGTTCTACCAAATATTTAAGGAAGAATTAACAGCAGTTTTATACAATGTTTTCCAGAAAAAGAAAAAGAAGAAACATTTCCCAAATCGTGTTAGGAACGTAGTATTACCCTACCACCAAAACCAGAAATAGAGAGTACCATAAAACAAAGGTACACATCATTATCTCTCATCAACTCAGACACAAAAAGCCTCAACAAAATATTAGCTAATTGGAAGACAATAATGTATAAAAAGAATTATATACCACAACCAAGTAGGATTCATTCTAGGTATGTAAGGCTGGTTTGACTTCCAAAAATCAATGGATGTAATCTACCATGTCAACTGGCTAAAGAAGAAAAACCATACAATCATATCAACAGATGCAGAAAAAGCATCTGACAAAATCCAACATGTGCTCACAATAAAAACTCTCGGCAAACTCTCAGAGATCAGAAGGGAACTTCCTAGAATTAATAAAAACCCAACAGTTAACATTGCATTTAACGGTGAAAGAATGGATGCTTTCCCTTTCAGATGAGGAAAAAGGCAGGAACATTCACTCACATAATCTTACTCAACAAAGTACTGGAAATTCTAGCCAGGGAAACAGGGCAAGAAGAGTAAATAAAAGGTATATAGAGAAAGAAGAAATAAGTTGACAGATCTCAGCATTGCAAAGTGGTTCCAAAAGAAATTTCAAAAAAGTCTACTAATTTATAAGCTATGGTATCATTACTGTGAGACATGAAATAAATATAGTATCTGGAAATACTTAAAGCACAATATTTATATACATACAGTATATTTGCTTATTAAACTCAAGCTTACAGAGGGCTGCCTGGGTGGCTCTGTCAGTTAGGCATCCGACTTCAGCTCAGGTCATGATCTCCTGGTTCGTGAGTTCAAGCCCCGCATTGGGTTCTATGCTGACAGCTCAGAGCCTGGAGCCTGCTTCAGATTCTGTGTCTCCCGTCCCCGTCCCTTCCCCCATTCACGATCTGTCTCCCTCTCTCTCTATCAAGAATAGATAAACATTAAAATAAATAAAATAAATAAAAAATAAACTCAAGCTTACAGTCCTAACCCACATGCAATTTACCTTCAAATTTTATGGGGCTCCTCACATTTTCCAAGTGATTTATTTTCGGGCTGGTGTTCTTGTACTAGTATGCACAGCATAACCTATGACTTTCTGGGAAATTTATTTTTCCACTTTTAATTTGACTTCTTTCCACATGAGCCTAGGCAAGTGTGGCTCAGGTCTTGGGGTTATGTTATTGAGATAAGGAAAAAAGGAAATGGCAACGGGGACACAATAATCCCCATGATGACAGCGTGCACACGCACCATCACGCACACGGTCAGACGCACAATCTCACACGACCTCACGTACGGTCACACACGGCATGTTCCAGGCATTGTTCTAAGCACTTTTAGATCTTAGCCCATTTAGTCCTAACTACCCTGTTAGGGAGTAACATCATCCCCACTTTCTAGATGACAACACTGAGGGAGAGTGAGGTTAAGGAACTTGCCCAAGGCCGACCGAGCTGGAGCCTGACCCCAGGCACGGTGACTCCGGAGACCACGTGCTCTGCCTGCTCAGGACAAGCTCTAAACATCTCTTCGGAAGACATACTAAACAGCATTTTGGCGACCAGACGGCGGAAGCTGGAGAGCGAGCGGAGACGAAGGAGCGCGGCGCTCACCTGGAGTAGGCGCCGGCCCCGGCCTGGATAAGGGTGGGCAGGCCGGCGATGAACAGGCCCAGCTGCACGTCCTGCACCACGAGCATCCCAAGCAGCACCGCGCTGTAGTCGACTTCGCCTGCTTGAGGAAAACGTATCAATGGCACAGGTTTAGGTTAAGTTAAAGTGTCCCATGTCAAAACAGTCATCATGCATATTTCCAAAGTAATTTAAATTCTGCTACTTTAATAACAGAATACAGACTTTAGAGTCTCTTCTAGAGCAAACACTGAAACATCTTCAACATGGGAAACATCTTGTAAAGAAAATTTCCAGGATATTTCCAGCACTTGTTACTAATAGACTTACAGAAAAAACGCCATCATGGGAAGATGGCAAGGGACACAAGAGTATGGCGAGCCTGGATAACCACGTTACTTTCACTCTGTGTCCACAGAACACAGGAAATGCGCCTTTAAGTCCAAGCTTTCTCTCGCCCCTAAGCTACTCAGGAGACCCGGCCCCGCCCCCTGCTGGCTGCACCTGCTGGCTGACCTGGCTGACAGGTCGCCTTCCCTCCAGCTGGCCACCACGGCCACAGTGAGCGTCTATCACTGACACAAACGCAGAGCGGCTCTTCAGCTGGATGGAACGGAAGGCAGTAGCCAGGGCTGCCCGAAGGGACTATGCGGCTCCTCCACAAAGACAACCGGAAATGGGCACCATTTTCCATGAACTCCATGCCTCCCACAGTTCTGGCTTTGGACCAAACTTTTAACTGTCATGTTCCCCCACAAAATAATCTTTTTTTTTTTCCTTAAAAAATAAAAAAAAGCAACTGGCAGTAACAGATATTTAAAGGCTAATCTGATAAGAGTAATCTCACAGAAAAGGAAAAGAATAAGCAAACCAAATAAAATTAAAATCCCTCATCACCAGCAAAAGTCACACTTGTTAGAAGTTCAGGTAATCCAGGAGCCTTGTTTTACTTACCATGCAAAGTTAAATTTTTGGTACATAAAATATCTGGGCTTAGAATTTGATTGATTGATTGATTTGGTTGATTGATCGAATTTTAAAACATTCTAAGTGGACAGGCCTAGGATTGTTGTGGCTAAAGCCTTACAACTTAGAAGTGAAGAGGAATTCCCCACGCTAATAACAGATGAGTGAGGACACTTCAAAAATCCATAATTTTCAACAAACACCTCAACAGGCCCCTGCCTGCCTGTGGCACTCCCGATCCTGAGACTCTGCTCCTGATCCCGGGAAGCGCGCCAGGCCCTGTGCTCGCAGCCACGCTGCGGTCTCCCTCCCCAAGTCCTCAGAAGAGGTGAGCGGATTTCAGCCCAGCACCAATAATGGTGCCTCTCTCTGGCTTTCACAGAACAAGAGCAAAACAGTGAAAATCACTAACGAGTTCACAGGATATAAACCAGCAGTGCTGTTGAAGCTGAGCCTGCCAGCGTGAGCCACCCAGGACGTTCGTCCCTAAGCTGCTCACGCAGGCTGGCTCTGCTAGTTAGGTCCAGTAACGATCAGAGGCCAGTGTTGCCAGTACAGACGTGAAACTAGCCCCAAAGAGGTGAAAATACCCTCAATCACCAAAGCATCTGTCACATAGTTTATAGGAAAAAAGGTATCAAAAGTCCGCAGCCAGAGTTAAAGCAGTGAACAGAGCGCATCTGCCACTCTACCTCAGGCTGCACGTAACAAACCCGCCGCGTCACCTCCCATGAGGGCAACTGGGGACGTCAGGTCCGGCGCGGCATTCATCCCTTAAACCACCAATTCTGCGGGACACTTTCCGATGTGGATTTCTTTCTTCCTTTTAAGTGTGGTCCTCAAACCATCCTAAATCAATGAGCATGTAAAAGTTGTTTTCTTAATCCAGTGGAGACTGGAAAAGCTGAATTGCTGAGGGTGTCAGTTCCCGAGTGAACACAGTGCGAGGGCCCGTGACTGTTAGGAAAGCCCGGGGAGGGGGTGGAGAGGGAGCTGCAATGTTTTTTCTAACAGGACTTTGGAGTGAATTCAAGCCAATTAATTCAATTAAGCCAATACTTCAGCATGTCATCACTTACCTTCTTTTTCACCCCGGGCACTGCCCACGAGGAATCTGGACACTAAGGGTGTGCTTGATAAGGACAGGCACGTAGAAATAAAGACGCTCTGAGTGGGTCTGATCTGTAAAAGGTGTCCCCATAACAAGCCAAATGCGATCATTAACAGTGTCATGTAACACGGTCCTTGTAAGGCTATCTTCCAGACCTTGGAGAGAACACATTTGTTTACACATGTTTTAGTGATGACGGTCATCCCTTGACCAGCACCATGCAGGGTGCATGCACATATACCGCCTGGTCTCAGCCTAAAACGTTCAGGAAGTAGCTCTGTAGTAGACACATCAGCACGATACCCGAAGTCGTAATCTGAACACAATAAAAACAGTAAACACTTCTGTCGGCTTACCGAGTGCTAAGTTTTGTTACAGGGACGAAACACGCATGCCTCTCTGTGCAATGCAGTTCTGTGCACCTATAATCTAATCCTCAGAACACATCTCAGAAGTAGACAGCACAATTACTACCTTTTCTAGATGAAAATACAGAAGCTCACTAACTTGTCCATAGTCACATGGAAGTCAATGTCAGGACACAGACCTACGCAGCATGGCTCAATAATCAAATACTGATGAGGCACCTCAGTGTGCTCTCAGTGCTGTTAGACATAACGGAAAATGTGAAGGAAATCAGGTTTGATTCTAACTCTCCAAGGTTTTTAATGGAGTAGAACAGGCATGATACTAAAAACTATCTGACGTTTATACAAACATGAATGGTACATATTGACGAAAGAAATTAACCCAAAACTCATCCTATCCTACTTGAAAGCACTTACTCATTTTCTTCTCACCCTATACCCCCTCGGGCAAAACCAGCTCGCTCCGGCAAGGGCACAAGGGGACCCGGAGGAGGCCAAGGGGCGCAGGGCCCGGCCCAGACGCTCTGAGGCAAACTGCTGCCCCAGCAGCTGGCAAGCGTCATCTGTGTCTCTGGGTGCTCTGAAGGGTGTGACCTTTTCCTCCTCTGCTCTGCTTCCTGACAAAAATGAACACTTCTTTCAAAATCACAACACTGTCTTCAGGAATCTGAGCAGCTGCAAGGCTCTTCCTAAGGCTGGGTACCGACTTGCTGCTGTGGCCAAATGGGCACATGCCCACCCTGGCCGCCCCACAGCCACAGCCGGTCGCCAGGCTGCCTGTCCACCACAGCAGCGCCCAACTTCAGGAACGAGTTACAAGCGCCTCCCAACACCATCAAGCCCTGAGTCAAATGGAGGGACACTGACAGACACAAAGGAAATGAAGGCTCAGCCCTCCGCACAGAGCCAGTCTGTCCTTGGCCACGTGTCTCTGGCCAACCCAGGCTCCACGCTCGCCTTCCAGAGAGAGGTGAGCCCCTGAGGCTGCTTCTCCGAGGTTCGGATTCCATTCTCCGTGCTTCCTGCACCTAGGAGTGGCGATGGCTGCTGTGGTTAATGGCCTTCCAACGGCTCCCCCCTTCCCGTGTCACAGCCAAGAGCGGCAGGGAGGCCGGGGCGCACCTACAGACCCGGCACAACTGCTGGGGAGGCCGGCAGGCTGGGTTTTAAGGGTTCCAGGTTTCAGGGTAGCCACTCCTACAAGCAGCATCAGTCAGGGTATCTCTGCCCACAAGGGACCCTGGAGCTCAGGATGGAGCCCACTGCCGGCTGAGCACCTTGGGTCTCAGCACCAGTCTCTCTACTCTGCCTTCTACATCCGTAGACTCTCAAAGGCCAGACTAACGATTTCTGAGGTCGCTACCAAACCTTGGTCAGGAGGGCTGGGATCTATTAGCCCAAGGAGCACAGTGTGGAGCAAATAACAGTGGGAAATGTGGGCAGTGCCCATAGATTCTTGCCCCACGTGGGGCATCTGGGCGCCCCGGTGCTACCAGAAACACAGGCCCTCAGGCCACACATTACCAGACCCTGGGGTTCAGCAGGGTCCCAGGCAACTCCCCACGTCAGAATTCACAGCGGCCTGGTCTCCGTGCTTCTGCACCACAGCCGCACACCGTCTCGGGCTCCATTTTTCTCATCTCTTGACCCAGGACTTCTGTCCACAACCCAATACATCCCTCTGAAATCCCAGAACCGAAGCCCCACACGGGAGGGCCACGTGGCTGTGCACGATGCCTCATACTCAGTAGCCACCAGTGTCTGGAACAAGGTTACTGTGGGAACAAATAAGGAGAAAAGGGGAGGAGAGGGCGCCTGGGTGGCTCAGTCAGTTGAGCTTCAGGCTCCTCGCTGACAGCATGGAGCCTGCTTGGGACGCCCCCTCACCCTCTCCCTTTGTCCCTCCCCCTCTGCCCCTCCCCCTCTCGCTTGAGCTCTCTCTCTCAAAACAAAAAAGCAAATATTAAAAAGAGAAAAGGAGAAAAAGGGGAGAAAACGCAGCCCCCAGGCAGGGAGACAGAGGCGAGGAGCCAGCACGTGAAAGCTGAGCACAAGGGGAGCCAGGGCACCGCCAGGCAGGGGCGCAGGCACCCACCCAGCAGGACACGCTATCAGAGGAACGACTGCGGCTGTCCTCAGTGCCGACAATTAAGTAGTTCCTAGACCTCAGCGTTCCGAAGTTTCCACTCAGACTTTCAGGGGTTTCCCAGAGGCTCTAAGAGGGCCTTTCAGCAATTATTATTTCAAAACCCCACTGAATGATTTTCCGAACGAGGGGCGCTTGGGGAGCCCACGATCTCACCAGCCGCTTCAACTGCGCTAACACTCTGCCTGCTCTTCACGCTGGAGAAACACAAATATGTCACTTGCTAGTGTAGCTTATCAGGCATGGTTAACCCTTCTGCAATCCGAGCTCGGAGGCCTGAAAAGGACCAGGCTGCCATCCTCCTGCAAGCCTGTCACAGGGAGCTGACGAGTGAGGATTCGTGCCAGGGGGGGCCACAGCTCACCCCAAAGTCACTAAATAGATGCCGCGTCCCCGGGAAGCTTCCTTCCGCTTCTCAGACCACAGCACGCTTCCTCCTTGACACGCGCACACACCCTCCTTGCCAGGCCCTCCTAAGGCTGCATCGCCAGGCGCCCATCAGCATAAAACCCGAAGCCCCAGAAGCCAGCGCCACACCGGGAACAGCGTGTAGTTTCATACGGTGAAAACGTTCTTCACGTGATGCTGGATGAAGTTCTCATTGAAACGTGACTGGTACAGTGGTGAAAAATATAAATTACGATAAGTCAGAGCAAATCCGACTATGTAGATGAGGAGACCGACATCCACGGTGTGGGACACTCTGCTGACACCCCAAGGCCAGTCGATGCAGAAGCCGAGCTCTGCCCCTATCTGCCCCAAGCCACAAGTAACTGCCGCTGTCTACTGTCAGCCTCCCTCAACTCAACACGCGAAAACCCAGGGGAGCCTGCGCTGACCGAGAAGCAGGGACGGTGGCAGAGGACGACCTTCCCGTCCACAGGCTCCTGGCTCCCCCACAGCCGCAGGTCCCGGCCACGGTGCCGTGTCCAGCACGCCCCTGACCACAGCTCACAGGAGAGAGCGGCGTCCTTGAAACTCTGGGTTCAGAACTTAACATACAGAGGTTAGGCCAGAAGCATGTAAAAAGACACAAAAGTACCTGGAGAAAACACTAAAGTGACTCAGAACGCTTCATGAGGAGGCGCATCTGGAGAAGTATTTAAAGGAAGTGATGGTAATCGGGAGATGGACAAATGGAGCTTTCAAAAGAAAAAAGAGAACAAAGAGAGAGGTCAAAGAGTAACAGGGTGAATGAAGGCCAGTGTTTCAACATATTTTTCTTCGCTATCTCACCATCTTGCAGCATCCTTCCCAGCTACACAATGCTTGTCAAGTAGCTGTGACAGTGTGACCATCAGACACCCAGGTTGCTCCTCAGCTTTCAGAAAAATGCTACAATGAGAAGCTGAATACCTTTGTGGGTTAAGTTTTGAAAAAACACGCACTTCATTCTTTCCTTTGGACAGAGACCCAGGGGCAGCTCCATCAGGTGAAGGCCCATCAGTCGCCCTGCAAAGCCGCCTTTCTAACCGACCAGCCCTCACAGTGACTCGAGAGCCACCGACCGGCCTAGCCTGGGGTCCACCAGCACTGCTGTCACCTGCGCTGCTCTTCTGCCCCCTCCCTCCTGCCCGCTCTGTAACTGACTACCTTGCTCTTCTGTGAGGTATCTGTCTAAAAACACAAGAGCTTTTAATTAACTCGCTTCTGACTTACTCCAACTATTTTCATTTCTGGAATACTTCAGTATTCACAGTAATAATTCTAAAAGCCAACAAATTTAGAAGGCGACTATTGCTTTCCTTAGTTTCACATTTGTTCATACACGTGGTCCTGTTATTAAGTCTTTCAGATACTTTCAATTCACAGTGATAGAACAAAAAAATCAAATCTTGCCATTTATTTAGGAATTAGAATTAGAAATTTTTTTCTAGGGTAACAAACTGAACATTCGATCCCTAAGATGGTTCAGCCTCTAGTGGTTTTGGACCTTTATGGAGGGACCCCAGATGTTAAATTTCAAACATATCACTTCTCAGACCTTTTCTGGAATTAGCCACAGGAAAGCTAATTTTATTTATTCACTGAATTTCTATTTTCTAGTATTTTTTATCTTTTAGAATTTACATTCCAAAAGTAAAAAGTATATTCTGTTCTAAAACACTTAATTTGAGGGGTGCCTGGGTGGCTCAGTCGGTTGAGCATCTGACTTTGGCTCAGGTCATGATCTCACGGTTCATGGGTTCGAGCCCCACGTCAGACTCTGTGCTGACTGCCAGCTCGGAGCCTGGAGGCTGTTTCAGATTCTGTACCTCCCTCTCTCTCTGACCCTCCCCTGCTCACGCTCGCACTCTCTCTCTCTCTCTCAGAAATATAAAAAACAAAACAAAATAAAAAGAATATAAAAAAAACAATAAAACACTTAATTTGAAAGTCAAATCATGAACAAACAAAAACCATGTGATGTTAACTGGGGCGATAACATAGCTTGGTGAGGCTCTTACCTTTCTCAGCCTTTCCGGAGAGAACTCCAGGCCCACAAGAAACAGAGTAAAGAACACGCCAACCTCTCCTAAGGTCTCCACCTGCACAACAGACTGGAAACAAAAATTTAAAGCCACACAAGTTAATGTATTTAACAAACGAAGTGTACTTCAAGGGACAATCTTGTACTAACATACTTAGTGGGAATATCCTTAACAAAACAAAACCAAAAAAAAAAACCACAGTATTTTTTTTAAAACTACTTCTCTGAATGTCCTCTATGCCTGAGGTAACTTGAACTTCCAGATACATGGTTTCTTTTTTTTCCTTTTTCTTAATTAGCTGAAGGACTATTTTCATCTTTTTTCCTAAGAACCAGCTCACGAATTCCCCCATTTTCAGGTTCAGTAACTGCCTCTGCTCTCATTACTGCCTTCCTTCACTTCCTCTGGAGGATGGGGAGGGCACTGAACCGGAGATGGACGTTTTCATCAAGATGTCCCACTTTCCGTTGGGTCTGCCGGGGCGGGCCTGCACGTGATTATGTGTACAGACTTTTGTCCTGGGAACCGAATGTGGCCACATCCCCACAGGTTTTGATATACAGTGTTCGTGTGTTCCATGTTTGTACTGATCCTTTACTTGCTACTTACCTTTTTATGCTCTTGCGTTACACCAGAGAATGCGGTCTCTCCAGTTACACTCGGCACTCCCTGTATTATTTATACATATGGTTTCCACTGAACCACAGACTGAGTGTCTGAAAGGAGAGCAGGCAGGTCTCCACGTGTGCAGGCCCCACCCTGCTGTGCAGGGACGCGCGTGCACCCTGCCGGACCCCGACAGGGCACACGCAGCCCTCTGTTTACTGGGATCTCCCTCCTCCCTTACTGATTTTATTCTCCTTGAACTTTGCTTATTGTATATTTTTTTCCTGACATCATCTGTAAACCCGTATCTTTCTTTTTTTTTTTTTTTAATTTTTATGTTTTATTTATTTCTAGGAGAGAGAGAGAGAGACATCGTGAGCAGGGGAGGGTCAGAGAGAGAGAGAGAGTCACAGGCTGAAACAGGCTCCAGGCTCTGAGCTGGCAGTCAGCACAGAGCCCGACGCGGGGCTCAAACCCACCAACCGCGAGATCATGACCTAAGCGAAAGTCGGACGCTTAACCTACTAAGCCACCCAGGCGCCCCATAAACCTGTATCTTTCAATAGGCAAGTTCATTCCACTTATATTCACTGTGATAACAGATTAGATTTCTTTTTCTCCTTTGCCTCCTGGCTTCCGTACCTCCTGCTTTTATTTTTCTTCCATTTTTAAAATGAGGCTGTAACTGATGACTTCCAAGTAACATACTTAAACCTGTACTTTTCAGTAGAAGCCTGTTAACTTCGTCCTAGGAAAAGAGAAGTACTCCGGAACAGTCACACTTCCTCCACTTACCACCTCCCATTTTGGCTCATATGCTCTTGGGTCTTCACCTCGTTACCGTAATTACATTATTTACCAAGATATAGCGTATCCGTTAGGAACTGTAATGTTAGTAGCCTCTGGTTATATTTATTACCTTACTCAGTCTCCTTTATTATTATTCAGCCTTAATTCTTGGCTTATAAGCAACCTTTGCTCTGAAGAAAAAAGGAAAATAAGTTTGTATCTGCTATTGTTAACACTGTGGAAAGGGAGGGATGGGACAGCACAGGACAGATTGTCCACCTACAACTTAAAATTGTACTTACACCGTTTTGTTCTCAATCATATGGAGATTACCTATTTAGAAAATTGAATTAAAACAGTTTGTCCCGGAGGCCACCCCGCCAGGTTGAGCCCAGCCCACGAGAGCATCCCCCGGGTCGGTCAGTGGTCCCCTGTTCACTAAGGTCCAGGGCTCTCAGCCGGGAGCCCCTGCGTTGAAGCTGCTGTTGAGATTAGCAAGGGACGATGATGTTTTCCTGGTGCAAGGTGAGCCCGTTGGCAGGGGGTGAGACTTTAAGCAGAGTGCGCACACCTGCCCCCGTCTGTGTGCTTCTGTTCTACCGAACTAGGAAGTGCCAGGAGCCTGTGCAGGCTCCCCAGCGCCTGCACCACTCCTTCTGTGCTGGACAGACACCCATTCTCGCCAATCTCTCTCCATTTCGTCTGAATTGTGCATAGTTACACGACGTGTTCTGGAGCCCACAGAAGCTTTGGAACTGTTCCTTATTGCCACCAAGTGCCATTGATACAGGATGAGGGTCACTTCCATCTGTTCAGCAAACCGTCTCAGCACTCACTATCTCCTGGGGTTTTCACACCCTACATTTAGGCTTGGAAATCCCCCACTACTTTACCAGCTTTTCAATGTTTTAAAAATTTGTATATTATACATTTAACCCAGCATTTTTAGTTGCTTTCAGTGTCTGAATAATATAATCCATCATATTACTGGAAATAGAATTTTAAAACTGTGCTGACAGCTCAGAGCCTGGGGCCTGCTTCTGATTCTGTGTCTCCCCCTCTCCCTACCCCTCCCCTGCTCACACACTCTCTCTCAAAAAAAAAAGTATTAAAAAAACTTTTCAAATTAAAAAAAAAAAGACAAATGGGATTTTTTTCTCTAGTTAAGTCATTCATTCGTTAACAAACAAAATGACTTTCTTAGGATTTAGGAATTTCTTATGAAACTTTAAAGAACATCTTCTTTAATATGGTTTATAAGGAAATGCTATCTTTATTAATTCAAGTTCAAAACTTTTCAATATCCGTGAGTGTTTCTTTAACATCCTGTTAAACAGATACTAAAACAGTTCAATTTTACTCTTACCTTAATACTGTTTAGTCCTGAAGGCCCCAGAAGGACGCCACAAACGATATAACCAAACATTGTGGGCAACCCAACAGCCGTGCAGAGCCAGCCGCAAGGCAAAGACAGCGTTCCTATGGTAACAATGTCCTGATGGAGAATAAACCAGTAAGAATCACAAAAATTTAAGGTAGCAGTTGGCAAGAAAAGGGTTGGTTACTGAAGAAAGCAGACGTTCTGCAGACAATGCCCCTCCCAGTGTCCATTTTGATCCTAAGAAAGGAAGGCGACCCCTAGGCTGATGTCCCTGCCCTGGGTGCACTGGCACGGTAACCGGCCACCGAGAGCGTCCGTGCTCTCAGCCTGCGCTGCCCCCGCATGAGAGCAGCACGAGTTCTGGCTTCAGCAGCGCTGCCAGCGCGCTGGCGGTGCACGCCCAGACCCCCTGGCCTTCCGAGCGGGCCGCAGCGGCCACTCCCACAGCTGTCACCCGCTCTGTCCAAACCCAAGCGGGGATCTCCAACCAGAACACTGTCGACTGCAAATCTTTACGTAACTTCACATCTTTTTACTAGACTTGCCTCCTCAGAGGGCGCAGACATGCGGCCAACTTGGTCCGGAATGCCAGTCACCTCTGGAGAAGCCAGATCTCATCCTGTGCCCACGTCTACACAGACGATCCCCTGACCAAAGCTTCTCCTCATCAGATGTCCCATTTTAGTGACAAAGCCTGAGCCCACTGTAGTGACTCCGGACTTCAAAGAGGCTTCCAAATTCTCAAAAGCAAAATTAATTTTCATTCTAAATATTAAAGTGCCTTATTCTTTTGGGGAAAAATTAAAAATTAAGAGAAAACGTTTCAAGTCACAGAAAATACAGGAAGTTCTAGTAGAATCTCACTGTTGAGAGGAAGGTCGTGCACCCTAATATGAGGCTCAGAAAATTAAGCTCAAACTTACTTCACGTTAACACCCGGAAATGGCAAGGAGGGAGTGGGGATTTTCAGAGGGGTGCAAGACGACGGACTACCTTCAGGAAGTGGTGGTCTGCCCTTGGAATGGTCGCGTCTCTGGGTTTGGTGAGGATATACCGGTTGTTCTGGGAGTCGATCAGCATGCTGAGGCCCAAATCGTCCTCGACTTCCCGCTTTGTGAGGTTTTGCTTGGAATTGCCCTCCTCCTCCTCCACTCTGAGAACTGCCTCAAAATTGACCCCTTTCACCTGTAAAAATAACCAATATACGTTATTAAAACCCATGAAATGTTTTCAAGTTCAATTTTTAGAGCATAAATTCTGTACAGAAGAGTGATAGGAGTATTTCTAGTACTCCGTCAAGGATGATGGCAAGTCCATAAATATTCATTAGCTTAAATTGGGAAAGCTTCTTCAGTTAAAACAGTGAGTTGAGAACGGAAGCGTTCAGGATTTCTACTACGTCCAGACACCTACTTGAATGATTTAGGGTATAATTTGTAACAAGAAACACACATCTGGTCTTCACCCCCTTCCTGGCCCGCAGCTCCCACAGCCAGTGTGGGCTTCCTAAGTGTAAGGGCGATGGGAATACCTACATTCCCTTTGCAGCCTCTCCTGAGCTCTTGCCAGGGAGGTGACTTTTAGGAAGCCACTAGATGACCATAGGATGGGGCTGGCCACCAGAGAAAGCAAGCACGTGACCTCCGGGCAGGGAGGGGCCGGAGGTGAAGTTAACGACAAGCCCACACGATGTGGCTCCCGTGAAACCCTTAGAGCATTGGGTGCAGAGAGCTTCCGGGCCGCAGACACACGGGCGTGCGCAGCCGGGAGGGCAGCGGGCCCAGAGAGGACACGGGAGCTCCCTCCGCACGCCTTCGCCACTTCTGCTTGGCTGTTTCTGACTGTATCCTTCACAATGACCTGGTCACCTGGCAAACAGTCTTTCTGGGTTCTGCTAGCCTGAGGACAGGGTCATGGGACCCTCCAAGGTGAAACACGGGAACCCATCATCGGTGTCTGCGGTGGTGGGGGCGGTCCTGGGCCGAACCCTCGCCTGTGAGGCCTGCAGTGACCCTGCGCTGATGGCGGCAGAGCTGAGCTGGAAGAGCGTGTGGCGGCCAAAGCCTGACACCCTGACTCTGAAGCGCTTGGTGAGCAGCGAAGAAAGGGTACATTCCTTCAAAAGGACACTCCTGCGTTCTCCCCTGCCGCCGCGGGCCCACTCAGAACAGCCTTACTCGGTGCTCATGTGGCCCAGACTGGGTTCACATCTGCTCGAATTATCGCATTTTTTCTGACCCTTCTCAGGGTCATGATCGGTTTCTGACATCAATCTCATTTTTCCCTGAGAATCTAAACAAGTCACAGCAGTGAGCAGTCTGAGAGCCTGCCTCGGATACAATTCCTCTAAGGGTTGTGTGGCTCCCTGGGCAGATCAGCACCGAAACCTGAGTGTCCCGGGGCAAGCTCTCCTGAGACCAGAGTCCCAATCCACCGCAACACAGACGTGGGGCACAGACATGAGCCCCCGGTGGGGCGCTGACAGAAACGTGAGGCAAAACGACGGACGTCTAGAGCTCTTGCGCGTAACCCAACCAAGTTCTCTGGGATACGAGAGAGTTTGGTTTTATCTCCATCTTCGGTTCACACTAAAAACAGAGGCCCAACAAATTTAACCATTTTTCTCTCAGTAAGCAGCCCAAGCAAAGGGAAATTGTTCTGGAACGCTACTTACGGATTTATTGTCATCGAAAGCATGTTCTTCTATTTCTTCCTCTAGACGATCGGCTGCCTTTCTTACATCTTCCAGGATCTCGTCAAGCACGGACAAGCTTTTGTTTCGGTGCGTATTTCTCAGGGCTTCAGCCTGGTGTTTTTCCGCTGCCAGAAGTTCCACGTATTCTGTCTCTTCCTGTTTATTGGTGAGAAATGAGGTGTGTGGTTTATTAAGACACAGGCCACGCCAGGACTTCCATTCAGGTGCCCGGCCCGACCGTGCCGGCCCACGTGCTCTCGCGGGCACACAGGTTTACAAACGTGTCCCGCTAGCTCCAGCCAGTGAGGGAAGGTCACGTGTTCTGTACCACTCAAACATGACGGAGCTGAGCAAAATGTTTAGGGAACGCTATCTGCACGCACACATCATCAAATGTAATCTACTACTGTCGATAAACTCTAAAGGTCATCTATGCATACAAAATCCTCCCTGGAAGGATGGATATCCTTCCAGATATCATGCCTACTACGTGTGGAGGTCCAGATGTACTCTAAATAAACATGTGTGACACTTGATTATTGAGCTAAAAATTTCTAAGCAGAATACACACAAATTCCAAGTTACAAAGGGGAAATTGTTCCAAAAGAATCTGCCAGCTTTACTTGGAAAACTAACGGATGGTGTCAACAATACTATTGTGTTTTATACTGTCATATTTAAATTCAAGCTGTCGATGAAATCGACATCCTCACTATTAAAGTATATACTCAAACTTCAAAGGCCTGGGGCACAGCCAGAACAGAGCAGCAGCAAGGAGGCCCCGAGGAGAAGTGTGGCTGTCCGGCGGGCTGCTCTCTAGGCAACACCATCCCACCCCTTGCTCACAGCTGCGAACTCCCAGCACCTGGACTGTCTGAGACGTGAGGCCAAAACCGTATGTAGAAAGCATATATTTGGATCAACATCACTCGACGGATGTTAGTTCTCTATTTTACAGTAAAACTACTTCAAATCAATACCACTACGTGCCCTTCTTTAAAACCAAGGAGTTTAGGGACACCTGGGTGGCTCAGCCGGTTAAGTGGCCAACTTTGGCTCAGGTCACAATCTCACGGTTCATGAGTTTGAGTCCCATGTCAGGCTCTGTGTTGACAGCTCAGCCTGAAGCCTGCTTTGGATTCTCTGTCTCTTTCTCTGCTCCTCCCCTGCTAGTTCTCGTTCTCATTTTTTTCTCTCTCTCCCCCTCAAAAATAAATAAACATTTTTAAAAAATTTTAAGCCAAGGAGTTTAGGGGAACCTGGGGTGGTCAGTTGGTTAAGTGTCCAACTCTCAGTTTCAGCTTAGGTCACGTGGTTTATGAGTTTTAGCCCCAAACTGGGCTCCATGCTCACAGCATGGAGCCTGCTTAGGATTCTCTCTCTCCCTCTCTCTGCCCCTCCACTTTCATACTTTCTCTCTCTCTCTCGAAATAAATAAAACCTTAATAAAAATTTAAAAAATAATAAAACCAAAGAATTTTAATGTCTCAACTGTCCAAAAGATCTGCTAAGGCAGTAACATCTCTTCAGATGAGAGCATCCAGGCCTGTTTCCAACATACAATTACACACATGTGATAGGAATACTGATGAATCAGAGTGGCCAAAACCCTGACTTTACCCCATTACATTGTTTCTACCAAATATACCATACTTTGGTTGAAAATAAAAAGTTAATGTCTGTGTTTTCTTTACTTTTAAGCTGTGTGACAATGCCACAAGTTTTCCATGAAGATGAAATATTTTATATACAGATGGTCCCCAACTTAAGATGGTTTGACTTAAGACTTTTTGACTTCACGATGGTGTGCAAGAGATACACATTCAGTACAAACCACACTTAGAATTTTGATTTGATCTTTTTCTGGGCTAATCACAGGCAGTGGGATCATGGCACAGAGCCATGGCTCCCGATGGGTGATCACATGGTAAACCGTGGATACAATGACAAGCACGCTGTTTTCACTTTCAGTATAGAATTCAATACCTTACATGTATTGTATGTGTAATAACATTACATGAGATATTCAGCACTTTACTATAAAATAAGTTTCTTGTTAGATAATTTTGCCCAACTGTAGGCTAACATTAAGTGTTCTGAGCAAGTTTAAAGTGAACCATGCTAAGCTGTGATGGTGGGTAGTTAGATGCATTAAATGCATTTCTGACTTGCTATATTTTCGACTTGTGACCGGTGGGACATACCCCACCATAAGCCTAGGAAAAGTAGTGTGTAAAGTGCCTGGCACGTAATAAATGGTATAAAGGATGGCTTAAAAAAAACATATAAAAACTGTGGCTCAGTCTATTAAGCGTCCAATTTCAGCTCAGGTCACAATCTCACAGTTTGTGAGTTAGGGCCCTGTGTTGGGCTCTGTGCTGACAGCTCAGAGCCTGGAGCCTGCTTTGGATTCTGTGTCTCCCTCTCTCTCCCTGCCCCTCCACCACTCATGCTCGGTCTCTCTCTCAAAAATAAACATTAAAAAAAAATAAGCATATAAATAATATCACATCTGATACAGTAATAGTTTCATCTCATTTTAAAAGCATATTTCATCAAAATCCTCATTTCAAAAGTATATATTTAAGACTAATTTTAGTATTTTTGTTTTCAGTAGATGGATATTAAAGACAGCCAACCTTCACACTAAAAGGAATTCTTTTTTTTTTTTTTTTTTTTATATATTTTATTTATTTCTAGGAGATAGAGGGAGAGACAGCGTGAGCAGGGGAGGGTCAGAGAGAGAGGGAGTCACAGACTGAAACAGGCTCCAGGCTCTGAGCTGGCAGTCAGCACAGAGCCCGACGCGGGGCTCGAACCCACGAACCGCGAGATCATGACCTAAGTGAAAGTCGGACGCTTAACCGACTAAGCCACCCAGGCGCCCCAACACTAAAAGGAATTCTTGTCAGAAACTCAAAATGTTGGTTGCAGTTACAGGTATACTTACCACATACATATACATCATATGTATATGATACTGATAAACTGATTCATATACATCAGTTTACTGGGATAACTTGAGTAACTATTATAATTACCCTGTGATTTCCACAACACAGAAAAGCATTAGCTTTTCTAAGAAGTTGATGTGAATGAAATGTAGTAGCAAAAGCGATGACTAGTAACTGCGCTCAGATGAGGAAGGGAAATCTGGTGTGCGCTGATGAGAACAGGTGCCCAACGGACTATACCTGCGGCCTCAGCACCAGCCACCTTCTCCCTTGACCTCTACTTGACCTGCTCCTGGGCACAGAGTGGGGCGGGACTGACCTTTATTGCAGCCTCTCGCAGGGCCTCCAGGCGCTGCCTGCTGCTCTCCTTCATGTTCACTACATCTCTGTAATCTCCCTGCAGGGCTCTCTGCAGTCCGTAGATGGCCTGGAACACTGAATTTTCACTTTCATTCAGCTCTTTTTGGAAAATTTCAAATGTGTGCACCTGAAACAGTTTCTCTTCATCTGACAGGCTAACGTCTTTTTCTACCGCTCTGATGGCACTTTTCAGTTTGTTAAGAACCACAGTCTTTTGGCGAAGAAGCCCGGAGAGCTTCCTGCAACCATCGAGGACCCACTGCTTCCTCTGAGTGATGGCTGCGCCTCTGCCTCGGTGTAATTTGATGGCATGTTTTGCCACCTCTTCATGTTCCGCAGCATCTGCTATCAAGCGAAGAAGTGGAAGCAACATCCAGAAGTAATTTTTTTCCAATACCTTCATGATCCAATTTTAGACGACAGGGCAAGGCTGTCCTAAGGTGTCTGCTCAGCTGAGCTTGCATTTTAGACACACATTTTCAGCTGAAAAAAAGATTGTCACACAGAGTTGAACAATGATTCACTACCATTGAAATCAGAGTTAAAGTATTAAATAATTACATTCAGAAAATATCACTTTTTCGAAGATGTTATTTTTCCTAGATAAACATTAATACCTGAACCATTTCTTACACCTGGATTTAAATCAAATACTAAATGTTAAAGTATAAGGCCTGGTAAAGAGACCAAAGGTTAAATCAAATTTAAAGACATTTTTTGGGGCGCCTGGGTGGCTTAGTTAGTTAAGCGTCCAACTTTCGCCTGGGTCATGATCTCACGGTTCGTGGGTCTGAGCCCCGCATCGGGCTCTGTGCTGACTGCCAGCTCAGAGCCTGGAGCCTGCTTCGGTCTGTGACTCCCTCTCTCTCTGACCCTCCCCCACTCACGCCGTCTCTCTCTCTCTCTCTCTCTCTCTCTCTCCTAGAAATAAATAAAACATTTAAAAAAAAAAAAGTAAATAAATAAAGACATTTTTTTAAAAAGAAAACTCAGCTTCATGTATGTGTTAAATCTACTGTGCGCCAAAGACAAAAACCAATCTACTTAAGGAATCCATGTATTAGGGGCGTCTGGGTGGCTCAGTCGGTTATGCATCCAACTCTTGAATTCGGCTCAGGTCATGATCCCAGAGTCAAGGGATTGAGCCCTGCGATGGGCTCCATGCTGAGTGTGGAGCCTGCTTACGATTCTCTCTCTGGTCCTCTCCCCTGCTCAAGCTCTCACTTTAAAAAAAAAAAAAAAAATTAAAAAAAAAAAAAAAAGAAAGAAACAGAGGGTCCATGTATTAAAGGCCAGAAAATACTATCAACTCCCCTATCACAGATCAGTGAACCACCTGGAGGAAACACACTCCACATCATTTCTGAGTAAAACCATCTGAGCTGCTACTAGCTTACTCTACTGTACCGTTTTCTTTCCAAAATCATTTGGAATTCTGCCAAATTTCCAAAGTCACAGTTTAATGCTAATAAGATGTCAAACACAGAAGAAGAAAATCACAAAACGCAACAATGTCTGGATCACTAGGGTTTATTAAATGTTCAAACATTTTTTTTTTTAAATATTTTTATTTATTTCTAGGAGAGAGAGAGAGAGACAGCGTGAGCAGGGGAGGGTCAGAGAAAGAGGGAGTCACAGACTGAAAGAGAATCCAGGCTCCGAGCTGGCAGTCAGCACAGAGCCCGACGCGGGGCTCGAACCCACGAACCGCAAGATCATGACCTAAGCGAAAGTCGGACGTTTAACCGACTAAGCCACCCAGGCGCCCCTAAATGTTCAAACATTTTTAATCGTCCAAATTCAGCCTCTCTCTCTTCCTCTCTGTAGGAAGAACCCAAACACCTGTACAACTATCCTTGCAAGTGAAGCACAGACAGGACCCTGACCGTGACGGGGTGAAGGCTTCGGTGCAGGCAGCAGGGGTGCTGCGGCTGTGGTATCCAGATGACACTCAGAGGGCAGGGCTGTGTCTTCCAGATGAGAGAGTGATCAAGGAACAGGTACAAGCTGTGGTAGCAAGATCACCACGAAGGAATGACCCCAAAGGTAGGGAAACACATAGCAAAGAAGGAAGAGCTAATAAACACAAGACTGGCAAGAAAGACACACCCTAAAAAGCAACCAGTGAGCCTGGCAACTAGATCACTGGGCACAAGCAGTTACGTCAAAAAAGAAAAAAACAAGGGTGCCTGGGTGGCTCAGTTGGCTAAGCGTCAGACTTCGGCTCAGGTCCTGATCTCACAGTTAGTGGGTTCGAGCCCTGCATAGGGCTCTGTGCTGACAGCTAGCTAAGAGCCTGGAGCCTGTTTCAGATTCTGTGTCTCCCTCTCTCTCTGACCCTCCCCTCCTCATGCTGTCTCTATCTCTCTCTCAAAAATAAGTAAAAAAATTACAAAAAAAACCCCACATACCATGGCTCAGTTAGTTAAGCAACTGACTGATTTCAGCTCAGGTCATGATCTCACGGTCCGTGGGTTCGAGCTCCTAAGCTGGGCTCTGCGCTGACAGTGCTGAGCCTGTCTGGGATTCTTTCCACCCCCTCTCATGTGCTCTCCTGTGTGCTCTTTCTCCAAAATAAACGTTAAAAAAAAGAAAAAACCTCCCATTTACACAAGACTTAGAGTTTAAAGAAAACAAAATATTAGGAGCGCCTGGGTGGCTCAGTCAGTTGAGTATCCATCCGACTTTGGCTCAGGTCATGATTTCATGGTTCGTGGGTTCAAGCCTCGCGTTGGGCTCTGTGCTGACAGCTCAGAGGTTGGAGCCTGCTTTGGATTCTGTGCCTCCCCCTCCTTCTGTCCTTCCTCCACTTGTTCGCATGAGCGCACACGTGCTCTCTCTCTTCTTCTCTCTCTCTCTCAAAAATAAATAAATGTTAAAAATATTAAAGAAAACAAAATATTAATATAAACTAAAAATTAATTGGAGCATCCCATGGATTATCATGTCAAATGTACCAGTATTTCCCCTCCCAGGGGACTTGTTTACTAAAACAAGTATCTATACCTCAGTTTTACTAGTAATCCCTATTCTAACAAGTTTATTCTGGTTTCCCAGGCAAAGCAGACCCAACGTAGAAAAAAGAAGAGTGTGACATACTGAGACAGAAAATTCTGACCAAACCAAAAATGACAGCCAGGAGGAAGTGGAGACAAAACAGAGCTTCTGAAAAATTAGCACAAGAACCCCGCAAAGACCAGCAGCCCAGGGAGTCTGGTGAGGGCTAAACTACGCCCTTCCGTAGACGCCAAAAATACCACTACTGGCAGACAGCAGGGAAACCTGCCCATCAAAAGTCACCAAGAAAAAACTACATTCTACCTCAATATTCTGGTTATAAAGTCAGGAAACTGTTCAATATCAATACATTTTTCGATACATCGGTTTGTAATGTCACAGAGAATTCACTTAGCTACAATAGTTCACTTTTCCCCCTACGTAGTTAGGATAAACGAGAATGTGCTGTCTAAATTACCCAACTTTACAATTTTTTTTTAACGTTTATTTAGAGAGTGCAGAACATGCACATGGAGTAGGGGAGGCAGAAGGGGCAGAGACAGACGGAAGGAAACAATCCCAAGCAGGCTCTATGCTGTCAGTGCAGAGGCAGGGGCTTGATACCACATATCTCAAGATCATGACCTAAGTGGAAATCAAGAGTCCAATGGCCGCCCCACCCCAGTGCCCATTTGTTACAGCTTTAATACAACTTTAAGTAAATGTTACCACCTTAAAAATAAACAAATGATTACTTAATCATAGCAATACCTAGCAAGATAGCTAACCTGTTATTTTAATGACTCATTTCCTGCTGAACTTGTATTGTTTCAGGGAAGAGAAAGAATTAAATGTTGAGACGTACATGCTTTTTTAGTATTCTCAGACCCAAGACAAATTTCTGATGCTTTGTTAACGTTTCCCATTTTTCCTAAAAGATCTCAAAAAATGATTCTTTGTGAGTTTCAAACTTCAGACAAATAACCCACCACACAGTCTGTGTGTGAACAACAAACACCCCTTCATTCATATCCGGTTCTTTCCTTAAACAAATTCCTGAAATCAAATAGTCATAATTCCACCCGTTGACACATGAGGAACTATTAATTTTTATGAGAAATTCCTGAGAATTTTAATTGTGGTCATACTAATATTTCCAATAAAATAAACTTAAATCATGGACATGTAGATGTGACACTGAAATTATTTATAGACTCTGAAAATATGAATCACTTTTTCATAAATTCATTTCATCTTACCTTCAAACTTGGCTACCAAATCCTATGAACTAATAAATTGTGGCCTACTTTTTCTTGAGTGAATAAACATTTTTAGCTCTAGTGTTATTTTGTTATTATTGTTTTTAATTATAAAAAAGACACTTTGGATTTATTGTATTTTTACAACAAATTCTTAGAATGTCTATACTTTGATTCACTCATACAACCTGGGTGGACCTCAAGACTGCGAGGAGAGCCTATCACACACACCCTACAATTCCACTTATACAGCAGTGTTCAATGACAAACCGCAGAGATGGAGGGCAAAGAGTGGGATGGAAATGGCGTGTGTCTTGACAGTGTTAGTGGCCACAGGAATCAACAAGTGACAGAATGGCAGATCTGAACACACACACGAGTGCGTGTAAAACGTGCCATCTGAGTAAGATGCATGGTTCAAATCAATGCAATCTTCTGCTTAGACTCTATTTTTTATCAGGAGCTACAACTGGGGCAATCTGGGTGAAGGATCTATAGAATTTCTCTGTATTATTTCTTATAACTGTATACAAATCTATAATCATCTCAAAATAAAGTTTTAAAAATTCAACACAAATGCTTACTATTTCTCACTAAACTGACGTTTCTTCTATTTTAAACTAGGAAATGCCCTAAACTAGAGCCAAAGGTTTTCAAGATGTCTCTGCTACAGTAAAACCCAATGTTACTTTTCATTAGAGCCACAACAGAACCAGTACTTGGAATACAACCATCCCCAAAGTTTCTGTTTACACGTATTTCAGCATGAATTATAACATGTCATGGGAGCGCCTGGGAGGCTCAGTTGAGCATCTGACCAGCTCAGGTCATGATCTTCCAGTCGTGAATTTAAGTCCCACATCAGGCTCCGTGCCAACAGCCCAGAGCCCACTTCAGGTCCTCTGTCTCCTTCTCTCTCTGCCCCTCAGACCCACAACAATGAACATTTAAACAAAAAAAATAAAATATATCTCCACAGCTTTGCCAAGTTTCTTTTTTTTCTTTTTTGGAGACAATGTGAACAGGGAGGGCAGAGGGAGAGAGAGAATCTTAAGCAGGTTTCATGCCCAGTGCAGAGCCCAACATGAGGGCTCAGTCTCACAACCATGACATTACGACCTGAGCCAAAATCAAGAGCCGGGAGGCTGAACCAGCTGAGCCACCAAGGCACCCTGCTTTGCCAAATTTCTAACAGGTTTTGCTTACTTTGAGAAAAGCAGAACAGGATTCCCAAAATTTACTTAAAATTGATGAGATTACTTAAGAAGAAAAATATTTAATAAATGTCTTAAGTAATTTAGAACAAAAGGCAAATGGGTTCACCATTAAGCCCAGTGAAAAAACTTCCAATACTTACAAAAAAAATTTTTTTAACATTTAATTATTTTTGAGAGAAAGAGAAAGCACCTGAGTGGGAGAGAGGCAGAGAGAGAGGGAGGCACAGAATTGAAAGCAGGCTCCAGGCTCTGAGCTGTCAGCACAGAGTGGTGAGATCATGACCTGGCCAAAATCAAATGCCTAACTGACTAAGCCACCCAGGAGCCCCAAAAAACTTTCAATATTTTAACTCCTCGTCATATTATACAGAATTCACATTACTCTTATTCTATTAAAAAAAGTTTAGTAATTCAGAAATGTCACAGGTCATATATTGGATAAAACACTCAAGAGTAAAGCAAGATAACGCAGTCTGACTGGCCTTTCTCAGAGCACAGTCACCCACGTAAAGCTTTCTCCCACGGGCCTCTACCTCTGAGCACTATGAGGACCACAGGGTATGCAAAGGGACCGTCTCCTTACACCCTGTTATTAAGGCCCACAGAACCCGAGAGCCCTGGGGTCACTGAAGTCCCTGGGGACACAGTGGGGAGGGGGAGTTTTCCACCAAGGGCCACAATTCGAAAACCTCCTGGCTCTGCCTCCCAGCCTTCTCCTCACATGCAGCCACGGAGCCCCCATCCCCTCTCTTCCTCTGGACCTTCCAGACCCACTGTCTCCAATTTTCTGGATCAAACTGCTGAGAAAGAATCAAGTTTCCTCACGCCACTAGGACAGCAGCCGCCGTCTGTGGGGCAGCGGCCCGACCAGCCAGGCTCCAACTCAGCCCTTTAGGAGGATCCCCGCCCCCACGCACCAGGCCCTCCGCATGCAGTGCTGACCTGGTACCAAATGCAGTGCCTGGGGCTGTGTGTGGGGGAGCAAGCAGTGCAAGCACAGAGCAAGCAGTGTGGGTGTGGCAGGAACAACGGTAAGGAGTCCAATACTGGTTACTGAGCTTGTTCTGAAAAAGAAAAATATAAGGGGGAGTTATAGGAAACGGTGTAAAGTTAGGATTTCTTTGTGATACCAGCAGCACTTCCAGATTCAGTACAACACGGTAAATGAACAGGAAACAAAAGAGGTGCTCGTGGAAAGGTCTTAGGAAGCAAACTCCCCAATGGAAATAACCTACTTCGATCTAACATGTGGAGTATTTAACTTAAACACCATCTTTTACTTTATTTTCTAATAACTTATTTTTTAATTCACACCCAAGTTAGTATATAGTGCAACAATGATTTCAGGTGTTCCTCACCCATATGGCCCATCCCCCCTCCCACAACCCCTCCCGCAACCCTCTGCTTTCTGTATTTAAGAATCTCTTAGGTTTTGTCGCCCTCCCTGTTTTTATATTATTTTTGCTTTCCTTCCCTTACGGTCATCTTTTTTGCATCCTAAAGTCCTCATATGAGTCAAGACATAGGGTATGTGTCTTTCTCTGACTGACTCATTTCACTTAGCATAATACCCTCCAGCTCCATCCACGTTGTTGCAAATGGCAAGATTTCATTCTTTTTGATTGCCAGGTAATACTCCGTGTGTGTGTGTGTGTGTGTGTGTAACCCTTCTTTATCCATTCGTCTGTTGATGGACATTTGGACTCTTTCCATACTTTGGCTATTATTGATAGCGTTGCTATAAACACTGGGGAGCACGTGCCCCTTCAAAACAGCGCACCTGTATCCCCTGGATAAATACCTAGTAGTGCAATTGCTGGGTTGTAGGATACTATTTTTAATGTTTTGAGGCACCTCCATACTGCTTTTCAGAGTGGCTGCACCAGTTTGCATTCCCACCAGCAGTGCAAGAGGGTTCCTATTTCTCCACATCCTCGTGAACATCTGGTGTTTCCTGAGTTGTTAATATCAGCCATTCTGACTGGAGTGAGGTGGTATCTTATTGTGGTTCTGATTTGTATTTCCCTGATGTTGAGCATTTTTTCATGTGTCAGCTGGCCATCTGGATGTCTTCTTTGGAGAAATGTCTGTTTGTGTCTTTTGCCCATTTCTTCACTGGGTTATTTGTTTTTTAGGTGTGGAGTTTGGTGAGTTCCTTATGGATTTTGGATACTAACCCTTTATCTACTATGTCGTTTGCAAATATCTTCTCTCACTCCATCAGTTGCCTTTTAGTTTTGCTGATGGTTTACTTCACTTGTACAGAAGCTCTCTATTTTGATGAGGTCCCAATAGTTCATTTTTGCTTTTGTATCCCTTGCCTCTGGAGACATGTCAAATAAGAAGCTGTTGTGGCCCAGGTCAAAGCGTTTTTGCCTGCTTCCTCCTCAAGGATTTTGATGGCTTCCTGTCTTATGTTTAGGTCTTTCATCCATTTTGAGTTTATTTTTGTATAAGGTGTAAGAAAGCGGTCCAGATTCACTCGTCTGCATGTCGCTGTCCAGTGTTCCCAGCACCATTTGCTGAAGAGACTGTCTTTCTTCCATTGGATATTCTTTCCTGCTTTGTCAAAGACTAGTTGGCCATATGTTTGTGGGTCCATTTCTGGGTTCTCCATTCTGTTCCATTGATCTAAGTGTCTGTTTTTGTGCCGGTACCATAATGTCTTGATGATTACAGCTTTGTGATATAGCTTGAAGTTCTAGATTGTGATGCCCCTAGCTTTGGTTTTCTTTTTCAAGATCGCTTTGGCTATTTGGGGTCTTTTCAGGTTCCATACAAATTTTAGGCTTGTTTGTCCTAGCTCTGTGTAGAATGCTGGTGTTATCTCGATGTGGATTTCAAAAACCATATTTTAAATGTGAACAAATTAAATGATAAAAGCATAATTCCGAAAAGATAAAGCACTTATAATCTTATAAATACAACTTCCAGATTCATATCTAATTAGAAAAAGAGAGAATGAGTTACGAAAGGGAGAGAGAAAAGAGACAGAAGGAAAATTCTTATGGATATTAGAAGCTTTAAAGTACTAATGTTAACTGAACTACAAAAACCATGTATTCTGTTAAGTAATCCAACCATTGATGTACTATGTTTTTAAAACCTGATATTAAGAGGAAAAAACCAGGAAGAGACTCTGATCCAAAGAATGATCAGAAAAATGTCTAAAAAGGAAAAGGAAGAACTACCTTATACCTAAATAATTATATGATCTAACAACATGTGATCGGAGCCTAACCACTTTCCCAAAGGGTGTTCAACCCCTGTTTATGTTCACTCAGGTGCTATCAAGCAAGATCCAAAAAGAACCCCAAGGCTGAGCCTGTGAAGAAGGTCAGAGGTCAGCTACCTGCACTTGCTCTTTCTCTAGAACCAGGAACGCAGGCCAAGACTAAAAGGGGACTGGTGTAGGGGAGCACTGGCTGGCACCCTCACACCACTGGGGAGGAGTCAGCTGATCCGCACTGGCACCTCCCAGCTTATGTGGCTGGGAAGATGAGCTGGCCTCTGAAATCCAGCCCTCAGTGGGTCTCACCTCCCGCTCCCAGGAGGCGAGGGCTGGCGGGGAGGTACAGCGGTGGCAGGACCTGTGCCTCCCAGCAACTAGAGCAGCTACCCCAGTAAGAACTGTATAGACTCTGCTTGGGGAACCCATGAACGGACACGGGTGTTTATCTGTTTACTTTAGCAGCCTCCCCAGTTTTACCCATAAGCTTTAAGTCACGCTGGTACAAGACGCCATACGCCCCACCACGTCCCGCTCACGGCCCTCCAGGACGCCTGCCAGGACCCGTCTTTAGAAACGGTCTTCCTCCACGCACCACGCAGACACGCAGGAGGAGAAACGGAGAGCGAGGCTCAGGAACTGAGGGGCCGGGTCTGAGTGAAGCCCCGGTAGGGAAGGAAAGGAGACCCCGGGGACAGTCCCTGCCCCGAGACAGGAAAAACGGGCGAGGAAGCCGGGAAAGGGGATACCCTCGGGGAGGGAGGGGAAAGAGACCGGGGAGGGAAATCCCCGGGTGGGAGTCCCGGGGAGGGAGACCCCGGGGACAGAGACCGAGGAGGAGGAGACCCGGGAAGGGGACCCCCGGAAGGGAAGACCTCTAGGAGGGCGCCCCGAGGCCCGGCGCCTCTCCCGCGAACCGCGAGCAGCGCTCACCTGGACACGGCCCGACAGCGGTGCGCCTTGGGCCCGGCTCTCCGGCGCTGCAAGCCAGGGAGCGGACAGAGACGCGCCTCACCCGCATCCCTCTCCAGGAGGCAGGCCCGCCCCCAGGGCGGTGACCCGGACAGGGCTGCGGTCGAGCCCGGGGAGGGCCTTGGCTGTCCGTCGCCCTCTCAGGATCGCCGCCGCGGCGGACGCTGCTCAGACCTGGACGCTTCCCCCGAAAAGGGCGGAGCCTAGGTCCCGTCTGTCCCGGCGGCGCAGTGCATGTCGGGATTTGTAGGACGGGGCGGGCCTGGGTCCCGTCGGCCCCCGGGCGGCGCAGTGCACGTCGGGATTTGTAGGACAGGGCGGCCTGCGTCCCGTCGGCCCCCGGGCGGCGCAGTGCTGGGTCTGAGGCGGGAGCGACGCCTGCGAGTCACATTGTCGTCGGGTGGCGCTGTGCACGTAGGAGTGAGGAGGAAGCGCGGGAGGTCGGGTCCTGTGGGCCCCGGGGCGTCGCAGAGCACGCTAGGGAGGGGCGGGGCCTGGGGGATCGTAGGCCCCTGGGCGGCCCGGTGCACGCCGGGAGATGGAGTTCTCCTGGCGGGACCTGTCGCTGTGCCCCTGCGCCCCTTCCCCGGCGGGTGTCCCGGGAGCGAACGCCGAGGACGAGGACAGCGCGGCTGGGCCGGGGTGCCCGTGCAAACGGCCGGAGCCGGAGAGAAGCTGGGGAGCTCCGGGGAGAATGGTAGGTGGCCCGCGGAGTCGCCCCCCGCCGGGCCCCTTCTGCGTACCTGGGGTCCGGGGACTGGGGCCGGAGCCAGGGGGCCGGGGAACGCCGGGGGTCGGGGGGGCCGGGACCCACGAGGACCAGGGGGCGGGGGCCTGGGAACGCCGGGGGTCGGGGGGGGGGCCGGGACCCAGGAGCACCAGGGGCGGGGGCCGGGGAACGCCGGGGGCCTGGGGGTTTGGGGGGGGGGTCGCCGCTCGGCCTCGGGCCCCAGGGGCCCAGCGGGGAGGCACGCAGGTGGGAACCTGACGGGTCTGTGACGAGACGGAGGCACCGAGCGAGCAGGGGACTGAACAGGGCTTCAGCTGAAACGCGAGCAGCCAGGTGAACGAGGAGGGAAGGACGTTCGGGGCCAACTAGCAACTTGTCCAGCGATGAAGCGGGAAGGCAGTGCTTCCGGGCACGAGCAGAGGCCGGTGTGGCTAGCGGGTGGGCTGGAGAGCCGGAAGGGGAGCGCGGCCCAGCAGCCTGTACTGCAGGCTGAGGAGTGTAGTTTATCCAGCAGCTGATGCGAGCCCTAGAAGGTTTTGGAGAAGGCGAGGTGTGTGTGATGTGATCATGTTTGTGTCTTGACCAGAGGATGGGAGGACTTGGATCAGAGGGCTCAGGATTGCAGGGGCGACCAGTTAGAAGCTGTTGTAATCTAGGCAGGAAGAGGTGAGGACTTACAGCAAACGTTTTCTGTCGGAAGGAGAAGGATGAGAGCAGGGAGAGGGAGGGCCTTCGCAGAACTGTTCAGAGAGGGCTGGGGCCCCTGAGCAGGTAGTGATATTATTGAAGGAAGAGCAGATTCCTGTGGGAAATCAATGCAGTAACGGTGAAAGGAGAGGAATCTCCTTGGTTGGTTGGAGAGACAGATGTGCATTCCAGGAGAGGGACTTCTGGAAATACACGCCTGTTTTGAAATGTAGTGGAAACCAGGTAGTCGGTGGGTTTCATCGTTTATTCAGTAAACACAGAGGTTTGTCTGTGCAAGGAAGGTAGTGTACAAGGTGCTGGGGGTTTGATGGTGAGCAGACACGCGTGGGTTTGGTACCCACGGAGCTGGTGTCCTAGCCAGGAGAGAGGCACGAGCGTTTTATTACAGTTGGGATCAGCGCTGGGCGAGGCACAGGTTCTCGGGAAGCATGGGGTGGCGGGCGTGAGTGGTGCCGGATGCTGGGGCGGTGACGGCTTTGCCAGGGTTACAGGAACTAATGTCGTGCGGGCTGAATTCTCCAGGCTGAGCGACGTGGGAAGGGCAGCCAGACTGACTCTGGGCAGAAGATCAAGATAGGTGGTAGGCGAAGGTAAGTTCCAGCAATCGGCAGATGCGGCTGGCTCCACAAAGTGCAGAGTCGGCGGAAAGTGACCTGTGGGAGACCGCTCAGGTTGTGCAGGGGCTTCGGGGGCACAGGAAGAGAATGTAGCTTTTGTCCTGGTGGTAGTGGGAGGCCGGTCAGAGGGTCTCAAACAGGAGGGAGATGGTTTGGGAGGAATGTGTAGGGCAAAGAGCAGAGGGCAGAGCTTTGGGGGGAAAGGAGCAGAGACAGAGACTGAGAAGGGCTGGTCTGAGAAACAAGGCAGAAAGTTGGCTCAGAAACCAAGAGGGAGCACGGTCAACAGTGTGGCCGGAAGTTTCTGGATGACCCTGGCAGGAGGCGCCTGCCACAGCGGGGAGGGAAGGGGCCGGGTGGGCAGGAGGCGAGCGCGAGCGCAACGTGTGGAGGAGGCGTGCGCAGTTACTGCACAGGGTGGAGGTCCGAGAGTGTGTGAGGGGGCGCTTGATTTGAACCTCGCCCCCAGCCTGCTGCGGCCGAAGCGGAAGGCTGGAGCGCGTTTATGTAACGAGTTTGACCCATGCCGCCCCTTGGAAGTCGCCCGAACTGAAGATTTGGTCGTGTCAAGTCTCTGCAGAAGGGCATTTCAAGGGTAGCTTTGTTTCATTTTGTACGTGGGCGATCTTGGTGCCCAGATCACGCAAGTGATTTTTTTCAAGGTCACAGTTAAAATGTTTTAGACTTTGGAGCACCTGGGAGGCTCAGTCGGTTAAGCATCCAACTTCATCTCAGATCACAATCTCACAGTTTGTGGGTTCAAGCCCCGCATCAGGCTCTGTGCTAACAGCTCAGAGCCTGAAGCCTATTTCAGAATGTCTCTCTCTCTCTCTGTCTCTCTCTCTTTCTCAAAAATAAATAAGTATTTAAAAAAAATTTTTTTTTAATGTTTTATTTATTTCTAGGAGAGAGAAAGAGAGACAGCGTGAGCAGGGGAGGGTCAGAGAGAGAGGGAGACACAGACTCGGAAACAGGCTCCAGGCTCCGAGCTGGCAGTCAGCACAGAGCCCGACGCGGGGCTCGAACCCACGAACCGCGAGATCATGACCTAAGCGAAAGTCGGACACTTAACCGACTAAGCCACCCAGGCGTCCCTAAAAATTTTTTAAAAAATAAAATAAAATGTTTTAGACTTTATTGTTTAGAGACTTTATTTGACTTTATAGTGAATTGTCCATACTTTTATTTCAAGAATTTTGTGTGTTTTGGAGTGCCTGGCTGGCTCAATTGGTTAAGCGTCTGACTCTTGATCTCAGCTCAGGTCATGATCTCACAGTTCATGAGTTTGAGCTCCACACTGACCGCGCAGAGCCTGCTTGGGAATCTGTCTCCCGCTCTCTTTGCCCCTCCCCCACTTGCACACACATGCACGTGCTCTCAAAATAAATACACTTAAAAAAAAAGAATTTTGTGTAATTTAACAAAGTAAGACAATTGAACTTGCACCTCCCTCACACAAACACTTAAAAGCAGAATTTAATTATAATTTTTTTGATGCAGTAAGCCTCAGTGAAGGCCATCAGAGCTTGAAGGAGAGACCCTGGTCCTGCCAATTTCTAGGCCTTTATTAATTTTACATGGATTTAGCCTGTCCTAATGGATCCAGAATTTGCTACTTTCCCCTATAATTTTTCAGTTTATGAGGCTTTTTCTTTCTAGAAAGCTTTATGATAGTTCCTTTTTCTACAGATTCCGACTTGGGTCTCTTAGTTCCTTTTGGACCTGAAGCGTGCATAGTCTTTGTAGTTCTTTGCTGCTTATTGTTTTAGTCACCACTGTTTCATGGAGAAACGTGTCGGGCGACACCAGATTGCATGTTTGTTGGCAGTCCTCTTCCTTTGCATTCCGGCCACAGACTTTCAGGTGAAGCTTAGACCTGTGGCTGCTGTTGCTCATTCAAAACCAGCCCCTTAGTACCACTCTGAGGCTCAAAGTTGTAGGATCTGACCTTTAAGGCACTTGGAATCCATCAAGGAAGGATCTGTTTGTCTATCTACCCGTCTCCCCTTTTGGTAACTCACATAGTAACAATTCAAGCCATTCCTGGCTTGGGTCCATACACTGCTGTGACTCTTTTTCTAGAGTTTTCCTGTACCTCTTTACACTGTCGATATAACTATTTTGTGACATATTAGGAGAAGCTTCAAGAAGTGATTATCAGGAAAAGTACCTCAAGATCAGACATCAAATCTTCCAGGCGTCTGACAACCTTTACTTGGTGCAGATCCATCAACCACATAAAGCAGGACAACTAATTCAGTTACCTTACAGTACGTTACTCTGTTGAAAAATCTTGGAGGTTCTAAGAGCACTATGTTGAAATTTCCTTTTGATGTAAAATCCACATAAGATTAGCTATTTTAAAGCATAAAATCCCGTGGCGTTGAGGAGGTTCAGTGTTGTGCTGTCACTGCCTCAGTCCAGTTCCAAAACATGTCATCACCCTCAAAGAAAACCCGGGGCCATTGAACGGTCGCTCCCCACTCCCCGCGCACCCCAGTCCCCGGGAGCCGCCTGTCTGCTCTGTGTCTCTGGATCTGCCCATCTGGATACTTCATACAAGTGGAATCACACAACATACAACATACGGCCTCTCTCGTCTGACTTCTTTTACTTGGTGTAATGCTTCCAAGGCTCATCCACATCGTAGCATGTATCGGTACTTTGTTCCTTTCTGTGGCTGGAGCTCATTGTATTTGTACACCAAATTTTATTTTACAACCATGACGGAATTTTAAAATGCAGCACGGATGGCGATGTACACGATACAGATGTCATGAGCATTGCTAGGGATGTGGCAGGTGGGGGACAGATGTCTGTCTCCAGTTTAGTTTCTGAGGGAGTCCTGGGCTTTGTCCACCCTCCCCTGGGAGCCCATCACCTTCAAAACAGGTGCTGCTTTACCTTTTGTCAGCTTACTGTCAAAGCATAGGCAGCCAGCCCTAATTTGGCTAAATTTTATCTTAACCGGAAAACATAACCTCAAGTTTTTTGTCTATTTATTTTTCTCAGTGGCTCGATTTCAGGAAATAGCATACAGAGTGTACATTTTGTATATTCCCTTAGAGTCTAGATCAGGATTGGAAACCACAGCCCACAGGCATATTGCCAGTGTGTAAATAAAGTTCTATTAGTGCACAACATGTCCATCATCCACACCCAGCAGAGCAGAGTAACTGCAGCAGAGACCCGTGGCCCCTGATGTAGCTCCCTGGGCCTTGTAACCTGAGTTTCACCTTCCCTTACCCTCTGAGGAACCAATAGATAGGCTCCAGTGGTGTGTGAAAACCCCGAAATTTTCTGCAAAACCACATGCTTTGCTGGAGAGACAACCTGTGATGTTCACCAGATTCCAGAATGGACCCCAGACCCCAATCATCAGCAGTCATTGTTCTAAGTAGACAAAAGGCCAACGCCCCATGTTACAGTAGATCAGCAGTTCTCAGACTTACTAGTTCCCATCCCCTGTGCGCTTTAAAAAATTGGGGCGCCTGGGCGGCTCAATCGGTTGAGCATCCACCTTCGGCTCAGGTCATGATCCCATAGTTCATGAGTTTGAGCCCCGCGTCGGGCTGTCTGCTGTCAGCAAGGAGTCTGCTTTGGATCCTCTGTCCATACCCACCCCTCTCTGGCCCCTTCCCCCCTGGTGCTCTGTGTGTGTCTCTCTCTGTGTGTCTCAAAAATAAACATTAAAAAAAATTTCCTGGAGCCCCAGAGAGCTTTTGTTTATGTGAGTTGTAGCCACCAGTATTTGCTGTATTAGAAATCACGATGAAAAGTTTAAAAATATTTGTATATTTTAAAATAACGGGCGCCTGGGTGGCTTAGTCGGTTAAGCGTCCGACTTTCGCTTAGGTCATGATCTCGCAGTTCGTGGGTTCGAGCCCCGCGTCGGGCTCTGTGCTGACTGCCAGCTCAGAGCCTGGAGCCTGCTTCGGATTCTGTGTCTCCCTCTCTCTCTGACCCTCCCCTGCTCATGCTGTCTCTCTCTCTCTCTCTCCTAGGAATAAATAAAACATTAAAATAAATAAATAAATAAAAATAAAATAAAATAACAATAATCAACCTATTGCATATTTATGCTACACTTGTGCAAAGATCGCAAGTCGTGTGGCCTCTGCTTCACCCCAGTGAGAGTGAGAGAAGCAGATAATGGCGTGGGGTTGTTGTGGGTAGTTTTGTCCTGGTGGAGCCGCTGTGCGGTCTGGGGACCCTGGGCTGCCCCGACTGGATCTGGGGGGCAGTGTGTTTGAACCGGGTCGCGTCCTGCTGCTGAACTGCGCTCTGCTCTGCTGGCTTGAGCACGCAGCGAGGGAGGCCAGACAGCTCTGGCCACGCGCTGCTTGCCCTTGGCGTTGGGGGAGGAGTTGGTCTGGTGCAGAGGGCACACGCTGCAGTTACCCTTTCGTGAGCTGCCACAGGGCCACTCTTTGGGGTTTCAGTGCCAGGAGGAGCCGGGCCGCTGCTGGGCCACTGGTAGGTTTTTAAATCTTACGAAAACAGATTTCCTAACTAATCCTGTTGTCGTCTGTGGTTTGGCAGCCGGGAGGCCCAGAGCCGAATTTCAGCCTGCTTCCAGCTCTCGTGTCTGGTGTGCACGTCTGCATCTCCTCGCTGACTGTCCTTTTCTCCTCAGGTGCCCAGCTACATGTTGTATCCCACTTACGGGTTTCCATGAGGTTTAACTTCTTCTGTGTGTTTTTATAAACTGTCTCATCTTTTGCAGAAGATAGAGTATCAGCCCTTTTACATGAAACTCTTCCCCTTCTGTTACTTTGTAAAGCATTTGTGTAAAGCGTTAGCGTCTCGTAGATTGTAATCTGTGTTGGTTTACAGAAAGCAGCGATTCACTTTCATTTCTGATGTCCTCTTCATCAGGTTACCTTAGATGAGTAGAAATTTAGCCATCGCCTGTCTGGAAGCGCTAGATGCTATTTGGTTTCCCTTCGTACTATATATAGTGCAGTTACTCACTGGGTTGTTATTTACTGCCTGCCCAGCCTCTGCCCTGTGTTCCCATTTTATTTCTGGCTCAGGTACACAGATATGCTTGTGATTCATGTCATTTCATTTAGTCATAATGGGCTTTTTGCGGCTGCCTTTAGAACTTTTGTAAGTTATGCCTAACGCTATTCTTAGTTACCTGTATATATTTCTATCAGTGTGTTTCTGCTGATTTTCAACTGGGAAAAACCTAAAACAATGATGTTTCCAAACTGTGCAGCCCTCATTAGAGCCTGAACTTATTGGGGCTAACGAGGACCCCACATGCGGGCCACTGTGATGCGGTCATGCCCGAGGTCAGATACCCAGCCTCATTTCGGCAGAGGGCCACAAGTGTGGAAAAGAGGCATTTTCCTGAGCCTCGGGAAAAATAAAGGGTTTATGCAAATTAAAGTGGTTAAAGATTAAAATGTATTTTGTGTAAAACACTGGTTTTCACAGTCGCTTGAAGGTTACACTTTGCATGTTTGTCACCAGATAGATGCGGCCATCCCGGTTTTCGGGGGACAGTGACCTCTTCCTGACCGAAGAGGGGTGTGAGGCTGCGGTCCAGGGCCTACAGAGAAGCTGCGCCAGGAGGAGCCCCGCGGCCCGGGGACGGTGCTGGCGGCCACCGTGGGAAACTGAAGCCGAGCTGTGGGCCGGCCGCCCGGCCTTCCTGCCGCCTTTGCCTCCCAGGCCGTACACTTAAGCCGTCTCTGAAGGCCAAGTCCCCCGCCTGTGGCATTTCGTCAGGCCGGCCGGGGCGGTGCCGTGTGCTGCAGAGCGCAGGCCGAGCCCCTGCTGCCCCGCAGGCCGCATGAGGAGCGCGGTGGACAGGAGGAAGCTGGAGCAGCTGTACGCCCGGTACAGAGGTAAGAGTGGCCGCAGGCCCGCCTCCGACCCTGCGGGCGCAGGACCCTTGCTGCCTGAGCTCCTGACGCCCCGCCGCGGGGGCCCCTGCGCCCCACGGGAACCCGGCCGGGTGGCCGACAGGCTCCAGGGGCAGCTCCTGGCAAAGAGGCTTTGTGTTACAGGTTGGGGACGGTGGTGTGTTAGGGACACCAGCACTTAGAGTGGCACCTCTGTGCAGGTTCGGTCACGCTGCAGAAGGCTGGTGACAAGTCTATGCACGTCCCGACGGCCCAGCAGCCTTCCAGATTCCATATAGGGTGTCAGGTCCGTGCTGTCGTCTCAGAGGCAGCCACTAGTCAGGAGTTGACGTACTTTTCCTTTCTAGCAGTTTCTAAGGTTAATCATGCATTTCCAGAACTTAAAAACACACACACACAAAACACTTATTTAAACAAGTATTAACCTAGGGGCGCCTGGTGGCTCAGTTGGTTGGGCATCCAACTTCGGCTCAGCTCATGACCTCACAGTTCATGGGTTCGAGCCCCGCATCGGACTCTGTGCTGACAGCTCAAAGCCTGGATCCTGCTTCGGATTCTGTGTCTCCCTCTCTCTCTGACCCTCCCCCGCTCACGCTATCTCTTTCTCTCTCTCAAAAATAAAAACATTTAAAAATTTTTTTAAAAAAAGATCTGGAAACATTAAAAACTGCATTCTTTTTCTTTTTTTTAAATCCTGGCGCAGAAACAGACTCTGGGGTTGAAAAATCAGATTTGTATTTGAAAAATGAACATTGGCTGTAAAAGTGAGGTCATCATTTTGAAAAAGCCGCTACGCGCCCAAAGTAACTGGCCGAGCTGGCTGTGGGGCTCACCTCGTAGGCTTCTGTCCCGCCGCCTGTGAGCAGGCGCCGCCCTCTGAGGGTTATTCCGAGTCGAGACCTCACCCTCGTCGTTGACTCGCGCAGTTCTGGGCTTTTCGGGGAGACACATCTTTCGACCGCTGAGGGTCCCCGGGGAGCCGCGCAGTTCCGGGGCCGCTGACGGACAGGACAGACGGCGGCGTTAGGACTCACGTGCCCACGTGGGCAGGTCCTTCCAGAGTGACTTTGAAAGAGTCCGCGGTACCACCCGTACTGTGAGAGGGCGGCGCAGCCCAGTCCCCCTGTGCTCTCGCCCTGGGGACCCCTGGGGACCCGTGGCACTGGGAGCGTGGGCCGGGAAGGGGGTTGGGTGAGAACAGGGAGCCATCAGGACAGCTGCTCCCTCGTCCGTTTGGGAGAGCAGGGCAGGGAGGAAGCCTGGCCTCTGCTTGTTTGGTTCACAGCATACATTTTATTTTATTTATTTTATTTTTTGTTTTATTTTCTTTTTTTAAATTTACCTTTCATTTCAATAACAACATGTCCATAAAAATCTAATATATAGTACTGAAGTGACCAAAGTTGAATTTTGTATCATGAAGCACAAGTTTATCACACACACTTAATCTTCATTGGAGCAAAGAAGCCACAGATGTTCTCGTTGTACCTTCTAAACCAACAGAGTTAACACATACGGTGTGATAGCATCTGAGTGTACAAACACTCTACTGGAAATTAGTAGAGCTGGTTTGGTGAGGTCTTACTGAGATTTTTCTAGTAGATTTTACTAGATTTTCTGATGAAGGAATGCTAAGTTCCTTAATTTCATTTCGACACCAGAAATGGGGACAGAGGGAGTCCTGAATTTCTAAGCTGTTAAATGTAGATGCATGAACTAAAGGATTTTGAAAACTAAATACTGTATAGTAGCATTAAAATTATAGCAAATGAAATCACTTTAAAAAGAAAAACATCATATAGTTTCACTATTGCTTTGGCAGGATTGAGATAAAAATATAATATTAAAAAAAATTTTTTTTAGGGACGCCTGGTGGCTAAGTTGCTTGAGCAGCTGACTTCAGCTCAGGTCATGATCTTACAGATTGTTTGTTCGAGCCCCATGTGGGGCTCTGTGCTGACAGCTCAGAACCTGGAGCCTGCTTCCGATTCTGTGTCTCCCTCTCTCTCTCTCTGCCCCTTTCCTGCTGACTCTCTGCCTCTTTGTCTCAAAAACAAATAAATGTTAAAAAAAAATTTTTTAAATAAATAAATAAAATTAAACAAATTTGTTTTAGAGAGAGCATGAATGGGGGAGAGGGACAAAGGGAGAGAGAGAGAGAGAGAGGGAGAGAGAATCTTAAGCAGGACCCATGCTCAGTGCAGAGCCAGACGTGGGGCTCGATCCCACAACCCTGGGATTGTAGCAGGATTCTCACACAGAGTCATGACACTGAGGCTTTTCTTTCCAGGAAGCAGCTTTTTTCACGCCAGCACTGCTCAGTTGGGTTCATACCCATGTAGCCTTTTATTCATTTTCTACTCCTTTGTTTCCCATATATGGGTAACGTATAGACATACAATCTGATTGGGTAGTCTCATGTTACAGAGTCATGAGGGATGTCACGTATGCACATGACCAGGTTGCCTTCCCTTATCTTGAGGGTTTATTCTCACCACATTCCTTAGGGAGGGGACCGACCACAGGATCCTGACCTGAGCTGAAATCAGGAGTCAGATGCTCAAGTGACTGAGCCACCCCAGTTCCCCCAAAATTCGTAATATTGTAAGCGCTTTCCCAATGCAGTATTTTTTAAAATAAAGATTATTTATCTATTTGTTTTTGAGAGAGAGAGCATGAGCGGGTAAGGGTAAGAGAGAGAGGGGGAGAGAGGATTTGAAACAGCGAGCCTGATGGATGTGGAACTTGAACTCACAAACCATGAGATCATGACCTTAGCCAAAGTCAGATGCTCAACTAACTGAGCCACCCAGGTGCCCCAAGACTTTTTTTTAAGTAATCTCTGCACCCAACATGGGGGTCAAACTCAGGACCCTGAGATCAAAGAGTCACAGGCTTCCCCTACTGAGCCAGCCACCCCGCCGCGCAGTACTTTTTGTAGCAGTTTGCCTTTGGGCACACTAGAATTGCATCAACTTGAATTTTTATTTTCTTTATGGAAATTAATTTTTTTCTTAACTATGCCATCTTCTCAAAGAAGTTGCAGTTGTCTGTTTTTTTTCTTCTCTTAAACTCCAGCACCTTGATTTTTAAAATAGGGCTTTTTTCTGGATAAATTATCATTTGTTGCTATTTCATATACAGTAGAAAATTGTGGTCTATTGATGCTGTATTTGAAACATGCTTGTTAGAGCCATCTCGTAGAGCTATGATGCTAACCACCCATTTTCGTGTTATTTTTCAAAATAGCAGAACATTTTCTCTCTTGATTTTAACTGTAGACCCACAAGATGAAAATAAAATTGGAATTGATGGGATTCAACAGTTCTGTGATGACTTAAACCTGGATCCTGCCAGCATCAGCGTTTTGGTCATAGCGTGGAAATTCAGGGCAGCGACACAATGTGAATTTAGCAAAAAGGAATTTGTAGATGGCATGACAGAGCTTGGGTAAGTAAGATGGTCTCAGATTAAATTTTTGCAAAAAGGAAGCTGCTTTCAACATTATTTTTCAACAGCCTGTAAATATTAGTTTCAAATTCATTTACGTTCTGTGTATATCTTACACATTTCTTATTCTATTTATTTATTTTTAATTTATTTCTGAAAGAGAGAGACAGCACGAGCAGGGGAAGGTCAGAGAGAGAGGGAGACACAGAATCCAAAACAGGCTCCAGGCTCTGAGCTGTCAGCACAGAGCCCGACGTAGGGCTCGAACCCACAAACCGTGAGATCATGACCAGAGCCACAGTCAGACGCTTAACCGACTGAGCCACCCGGGAGCCCCAATCTTACACATTTCTTGCACATCTGCTCTATTAAGCCTTTAGTTTCCTTTTAAACTGTAGTAAAGTTTTATTTAATATTTTTGTTCAGATTAATCCCTTTTGTAACTTTTTTTTTTTTTTAATTTTTATCCTTCCAGTTTTGAATTATCAAAGTAACTATCAAGGTGTTTTTGTTTGTTTTCAGCCATTGAATTTATTTCTTAATATTGTACACTAATTGTATAATCTGTTGTGTTTATATTAAACATCAATAAATTATTATTTTGCTTTTTGCTTGTAACATTTCTCTGTTCTACCTACGGGGTTGAGATAAAAGCTTCATTAATAACTTAAGATAGTTCTCACTTATCAGATAAGTCAGACAATTAAGTGAAAGCACATAACATAAATATCTTTTAATCATTAGGCTTATTGAGCTATTTCATGGGGTGGTATGAAGGCCAACGTGCTTGACTTGCTGATATTTTGACATTTTAGTGTTGACAACTTAAGCTGCCTTATTTTTAGTTCCTGAAGGAGCTTGACAGCCCAAGGTGAACATGTTCGTAAGGCGCGTACTTACCGCGTCCCTGAGGAGAAATAGAGCGTTTGATCATAAGGTGCATGCTTACAGCTATCCCCGGGGCCCCGGGAAAATGGAACATTTGTGTTTTCCACTAAGCTGATGAATCTGTTACATTTATCAGCCTGCTCTGTCTAGCGATAAGCTCTACAAGATTTACCCTGTTGCTGGTGGTTGTGTAAAAGCCAACGGAAGACATCACTGGGACACTGGTGTGACAGCATGTCACTTCATGTTCTGTGCACTCAGGAGGCCGGGTGAGCTGCAGGGAGTATAGGGTGGAGGACCGTTCTCTTGCCATTGTACCGCACGCCATCCCGTCTGCTAAAACCTCCCTCGAATGGGATATTTTGGAAATAAGTGCTTCTTAATTGAAACACTTGATCTTGGTATTTCTTAGGCATTATCTAGAAATGTGTAAAATTTTAAAATTCCTGTTTATTATCCTAATAAGTGTTATAACTTAAAGAACATATTTTAAAAATTTTGAGTGTGAATCTTCCCAAAATGAGTTAGATAAATTCATGCCTCCTTACGTGGTGGATACAGGGTGTAACTTGAGATTATAAGTCAGAGCAGGCTGATGGTGCCACTCGTCACCCTCCACAGGGCAGTTAACGAGGGAAGCGCTGGGTAAGTGCTCAGTGCTGTCTGCGAAGTGCAGTATCAGTGATGTGACAGTCAGCTGTACCACAGAGGTGACCTTGGAGCTTTTAGGGATGGAAAAGGCGGTTTTAGTCTGAACAGCACTAAGCTTTAAAAAGCACTTTGGCTTTTGTGTCTGCTCTATTACTATTTTCCACACTTTTTCCTGGCTATTAACTCTCAATGGTGGTTGGAATACTTGCCTCTAAGCATTAACCCTGCAGCCTTTCATCGGGGGCTGGATGCTTTGTAAATGAACTTCGTGAACATTATGAAATGCCTTGACATCTTTGTAAAAACAAGAAATGGGCCATACTGTGAATCTGTTTATAGACTGTCATATTTTATGGGTCTGTTTATCTTTAACCCTGAAGCACATAGTGTTGATTATTGTAGCATTAGGTAAGTCTTGAGATGAAGTGGTAAAATCTCACTTTTTCATCCGTCTCAAGATTGTTGGCCCATTTTTATTATGTCCATGCGGAAAGAAGAGTCTGTTCAATGACTGATGCTCAGCCAGAGACCACGCCACACTGGTGCCCACATGAGGCCACAGGCCACATCTCAAGATGCATGGGGGCTTCCATTCCGGTACAGGAAACTTAGAACTGTAAAGTTCTAGACAAAACATGGGAGAAGTTCTTTATTAAGACCCAGATTAAGAGATATATTTTAGAGAAGATGTAAAAAGCACTATCCATAAAGGAGGGAAAAAAACCTGATGAATTGGACTTCATCCAATTTAAGAGCTCTGCTAAACAAAAGATAGTGTTAAAAAGGCAAAACAGTGGGAGAAATGCTTTCTTTGTGTATGTTACAGATAAAATGGTAGAGGACGTGATTTATGTGTAATTCCTAAATAATGGAGCAAGAATAAAGTAATAAAAACTCAATCCAAAAGAATGGAAAAAAAGAACACAAGGAAAATTACTTAATGCAGGACAGATAGCAAGCATGTGATAAAATGGAGGATTTAAAGCCAAATGTGTCAGCATTTACATAATTAATGTAAGTGAACTAAATATTGGATGGATTTTAGAACATCAGTGCAACCATTGTGTATTCTGTTTACAGTAGATATGATTAGAACATAAGGGCACAGAAAGATTTGAGGGATAGAAGTTGATGTAATTTGCAAACATTAACCAAAAAAAAGTTGGTGTGGATATGTTAATGTTAAAATCAGCTTTAAGGCAAAAAATAATTCTAGAGATAATGAAGGACGTTTCATAATGAGAAAAGGGTTTATTTTACATGGAAGACAATAGATTATTTAAAGCAAAAATAAACACTCAAAGAGAAATATATCAATCTATAATCACAGTGGGGAATTTTCACACACATCTTACCAGATGAAAAATCAGCAAGGAAATAGGACATTTGGACAACACAACAAGTGGCCTAATGGACATATTTAGAACTTACCCTTTGATGTTGAAGAATACATACTCTTTTCATAAGACAAGTAGAATATTTATAAGTATTGACCATAAACTGAGACATAAAATAAGTTGCAACAGATTTCAAAGGATTGAAATGACAGAGTGTATTTTCAGACCATAACAAAAGTAAGGTAGAAATATAACAGAAAGATAATAGGTTGAAATATGTGTGGATATAACTTGTGGGGTTAGAGAGAAGCTACAATGGAAATTAGAAAATATTTTGAATGATGAGTAAAACACTACATATGAAAACTTGCAGGATTCAGCTTCTTAAATGCATATTTTAGAAAGAAGGAAGAGTTAAAAATCAGTAAGCAAAGTATACATCTCAAAAAGTAAAAAAAGGAAACTAAACTCAAAGAATGTAGAGAGAAGGAATCATTATTTTAAACAGGTAGTAATTTCAGGAAATCAAAAAGTTGTCAATAGAAAGGATCCAGAAAGCCAGACCTTGCTGTTTGAAAAGACTTATAAAAGCAGTAACAAATAACCAATATGGCACGAAAAGAGAGGCATCACTATAGACCCTATAGATGTTAAAGAGTGTATTGTGAACAACTTTATCCTGGTAAATATGAAAGAAAACCTGGATGCAAAAGAAAAAACTCTCTTAAAAATATGACTTACTGAAACGGACACATAAATAGTTCTATAACTCTTAAAGAACTTGAACTCATAATTTTAAATATTTTCAAAAGGAAAACTCTTCGCCAGGATCGGTGAACCAGCACATCCTACAAAACATTTAATAAGGAGAATAGCACCAACTTTACACAACCTCTTTAGAGAATCATACAGGAAGAAACACTTTCCAATTTGTTTTGAGGCCAGCACAACCTGGACAACCTTGCTGAATCAAGCACAAAAGGATATTTTGAGAATGAAAAATTATTGTCCATTCTCAGTCATAGGAATCCAAAGATGCATAACATGCAAAAATCTTTGATTATTAGCCAACTAAATTCAGCCCCCAAAACAAATCAACGAAAAAAAAAAAAAACAGAATAATTTATCATGACAGAGTTTGTCATAGTCCAGGATTGTGAGATTTAACATTACAAAGTCAGTCAATGTAATTTATCACAGTAACAACAGAAAAGGGGGGATTATCTCAATGCTTAAAATTGCTTTGATAAGGTGCACCTAGGTGGCTCAGTTCATTAAACGTCCAGGTCTTGATTTCTGCTCAGGTCATGATTTTGCTTTTGGGAGATTGAGCCCCACATCAGGCTCCACTCTGAGCGTGGAACCTGCTTGGAATTCTCACTCTCGCTCTCTCGCTCTCTTGATCTCTCTTGCTCTCTCTCTTCCCCTTTCCTATTTGTGCATGCACTCTCTCAAAATAAATGAATAAACATTTTTGAAAATCATTAAAAAATAGGTTTGATAAAGTCCAATTTCATTCAAGGGCGCCTGGGTGGCTCAGTCGGTTAAATGTCTGACTCTCGATTTAGGCTCAGGTCATGATCTTGCAGTTTGTGAGTTCTAGCCCTGTGTCAGGCTCTGTGCTGACAATGTGGAGCCTGCCTGGGATTCTCTGTCTCCCTCTCTCTCTGCCCCTCCCCTGCTTGCACTTTTTCTTTCTCTCTCAAAATAAATAAGCATTTAAAAAAAGTTCAATTCCAGGGGCCCTTGGATGGCTCAGTCAGTTAAGCATCCAACTTTGGCTCAGGTCCAGATCTCACAGTTTGTGAGTTTAAGCCCCATGTCGGGCTCTGTGCTGACAGGTCAGAGCCTGGAGCCTGCTTTGGGTTCTGTGTCTATCTCTCTAAAAAATAAACATTAAAATAAACTCAATTCTATTCATAGTTTTTTGAAAAAGAGCTTACAGCAAACCAAGAACAGAAGAGACAGTATTTAATCTGACCCCCCTTTCTGCCAAATCCTAGAGGAAATACTATACTTGACTGGAACATGAATGCCTACTTTTATTAAGCATTGAACAGGTGGTGGTGGCTAGTCTGATCCACAGGTGAAATACTAGAATCAATACTTGAGTTTAGCCAGACTGTAGGACCCAAAATCAGCAAACAAAAATCAATCTTATTTTAGAATACTGATGCAACAAAGCAACAAAACAAATTTTAAAAATATGTCATTTTCAATAGTATCAATAACAATAAACACCTAGAATAAAACTATTTAAAGATGTGTGTTACCTCACAGAGAAAAGAAGGAGAGGCAAGAAGCCTGAGTCAATAGGGACATAAACCTCATTCATAGTTTGGAACAGTCAGTATTTTATCCCTAAATTTATCTACACATTTAATGTGATCTCAGTCAAAACCCCAGTCAGTAGTTTTATATGTGTGTAATTTGACAAATGCATTTAAAATTATATGAAAATGCACAGTCAAGAACAGCCAAAAGTTCTTAAAAAGCAAGAGGGGAAGATTTGCTCTCTCAAATAATTAGGACTTTCCAAGCTACAGCAATTCAGACTACGTGGCACTCTTACTGAGATAAGTAGACCAGTGGGACAGTGGGGAGCCAAGAAGCAAATCCACATGTACAGGTACATTTCATTTATGGCAAAGGCAGCACTTCAGAGAAGTGAAGAAAGGACATCTTTTCATTAAATGGCTCTGGGAGTATTGGCTGGTCACCTGGAGAAGAACTTACCTTGACCCCTACCTCACAACGTACATAAAAAAAATCTATCAGTTCCAAGTGCATTGTAGATGTCACTGTGAAAGGCTAACGGCAAAAGCCAGAAGCCTCTAGAAAAATCATGTAGGAGAATATCTTTATGACCATGCAGTGATGGAATTTGAACACATTAAAAAAAAAAAATCTGGGGCACCTGGATGGCTCAGTCAGTTAAGCCTCGACTTTGGCTCAGGTCATGATCTCACCGTTCATGGGTTCGAGCCTTGCATCGGACTCTGTGCTGACATCTTGGAGCCTAGCGCCTGCTTCAGATTCTGTGTGTGTGTGTGTCTCTCTCTCTGCCCTTCCCCTGCTTGTGCAGTGTCTCTCTAAAAATAACTAAACATTAAATTAAAAAAAAAAAAACACTGAAGAAGACAGGCAGTGTATTATACTAAAAATAATAACTTTTGATCATCAAGAAATACCACCAACAAAACGAAAATGCCGTCCACATTGGGGTGAGAGTACTTTAAAAAATGCTTAGCTGACCAAGGTTTATGTCCTTCACATATAAAAGAAAGCCTGAAAAACATTAAGAAACATTACCTAACTGAAAACGGACAGGAGAATCGAAGAGGTGCTTCACAAAAGAAGATTTCCAAATAGCCAGTAAAATACAAGGTGTCCAATCTGGTTGATTGAGGAAGCACAGGTTAAAATGACAATGAACTTCACCTGTGGAATGGCTACACTAAGACACAGTTGCACATATCAGGGAACACGGGAGCAACGGGAGCTGGCGCACACTGCCAGCGGGGGTGGGAAGTGGGGCGGTCTCCTTGGAAACAGTTTGGCATCACAGCGCTGGAGATTCACGGGCCCTGGGACCCAGCGGGCCCACTCCGACTTGTGCCTCACCGAACACATTGACGTGTGTGCCCGATACATGCATAGAAATGCTCTCAACCACCTTCGTTACCGGAAAACTAGACACAGCCAGGGTATTTATCGCTGGTAGAACATATAAATATACAGTATGAATATAGTAGAATGCTACACGGAAATGAAAATGACTCTGTGAGCTACACGTTGGCACGAGTGAACCTGACGGACACACGGTGAGTTCCCATTTATAAAGTTCAAAGATGGGGCCAATGGGCGTCAGGGAGTGCTTGCGTGGAGCGACACGGGCACAGAGGGGCACGGACTGGCCCCGTAGAGGAGAGGCCTGAGGTGGGGAGCGCGCCAGCCTTGGCGTGGGTCCCTGGAGCTGTACGCCTCGCCTCGGAGTCCCCACGCTTGTGGCCGCTGAGGCGGGGCTTCCCGGGCTTTCGCCCGCGCTCTGCTCGACGCGCACGTTGGTGAAGCAATGGCTCTCGTGCTTGCCGGGTAGTCAAAGTAAAAAAGACAAATTTTGTGTTTTGCCATTCCAGATGTCTGCCTTAAAGGTTTTTAGATATTCTTAAAGGATGTTGACTTTTCGGGGGAAAATCCAATTTTATTATTTTATTTTCAATAAATGTATGTTTTAAATCCCAGTATAACTCATGTAATACTGTATTAGGGTCAGGGGTACCTTAGCGATTCTGTGCGTTCCGCCGTGCTCACCACAGTGGGTGCGCCCCATCACTTCGCCTGTTTGCCCGTCCCCGCGCCCGGGAAGCCCCAGTTTCAAACAGCGGAGTTGTGTTTCGTCCCACGTGGGCGAGCCGGGGCCCCTGTAAGGACGCGGCCCCAGGGTCAGGAGCTGTGGCTGCAGCTCTTTCTTCCTCTCGCAGGACAGTGCAGGGCGGCAGTGGTGCGGGAGGCAGGGGGGTGCTGGCCCCCGGGGCCGCTGAGGAGGTGGGGTCTTGCCGACTTCTCCCTGCATCTTCCCAGGGCCTCAGCCTGTGTGTGGGTGAAGCTGCTCATTAGACTGAGTCCGAGATCCTCCAGAGCCAGGCAAGCAGTTTTGGGTTTTGTTTCTTCCTTTTAATGCCTGCTTAGTTAGATAGAACTCGTGTGTCATGGGACCCGGCCACGGAAAGTCCACGAGTCAGTGGTTTTGGCGTCTTCACGGCGCCGTGCAGCCACCGCCTTGGTCTGTTCCGGAGCACCGGAGTCCTTTTAGCTGCGGAAGGGGGCCCGCAGGCCATGGGGGGCGGCCAGGCCGGGGAGGCGCCGTCCCACCACAACAGCCCTGTCTCTCGGCAGGTGTGACAGCACGGAGAAGCTGAGGGCCCTTGTGCCGAGGCTGGAGCAGGAACTCATGGACACGGCGAAGTTTAAGGATTTTTATCAGTTTACCTTCACCTTTGCTAAGAACCCCGGGCAGAAAGGTTTAGGTGAGTATAAAACCCAGATTGATAAGAAGCCACATCTTCATGAGACTAACAGTGAGCAGGACCCACCGGGTGTCATTCCTGCCGCTACAGCGTCCCCATGTCTGTCCACTGGGCGCGCCACGCACACATGGGCCAGCTAGTACCACCTCGCACTTGCACCCTCAGCCCCTAGTCACTCTCCCCTTTTGCCTTAGATATTTAAACTTCAGAATGTAAACTACTTTGCAAATGCTCCATGCTCTGTCATATTGAAAGCAGGTGACTAATGGGTTAGAGAAGTCAGCAACTGATACCAATAGTCAGGATGTTTGTTATCAGCCAGGTGTGTTATCAGCAGACGGTATTGTGGGGACCGGCCAGGGGACACTAATCCTGTCCTGGTCTGGAGATTTAAAATTAACTTACTAGAAAACAATTCTGATGTGCCTTGGGTTACATTTTAGTATTTCTTTTAGAGTTGTATAATTTTGCTATAATATAAATCTGTTTGGAAAATTTGGAAAATCCTTAAATTTTCAGTGTGAGTTTTGGCTGAGGGTTTTATCATACTTATTTTCATTTCTTTTTCGACCTAAGTGCTATAGAATTTATTTCTGTTTAACGTTACAGACATGTTTAGTTCAATAAGCTGTCTTACAAGTCTGGAGGGGGACTTAGTGGTCTTTAGGGATTAAACAAGTGTATGTTTTGAAGAAAAGTTCTTACACATAAAAGCAGTATTAGAAAATAACCAATTTTAGGTAGGAAACCAAAAGGGACTTGAAAATCCACAGATAGAAAAATCCACTGCAAACAATTGATTTCAGGGCCTGATTTCACTCGCATGTGTCTATAGGTGCGTGTGACCAGTAGATATTCTTTTCCCGTCAGGAGCGGGGGTGGGGGTGGGGGCTGGGCTCTCCCCTGGAAGGTGGGGGGGGGACTCTCTCTTGGCAGGTGGGGGGGGGAGGGGAGGCTGGGCCCTCCCTTGGAAGGTGGGGGGAGGGGGGACTGTGCTCTCCCATGGTGGGGTGGGGAGCAGGGGCTGGGTTTTTCCGTGGGAGGGAGGGTGAGGGGGCTGGGCCCACCTGTGTCTGGGGTGGAAGGGGGTTGGGGGCTGGGCTCTCCTGTGGTGGGGAGGTTGGGGGCTGTGCCCTCCTGTCCCGGGGTGGGGGGTGGGGGCCGTCTTTCATAAGCACTGTTCTTGTTCCCACGGCAGAGACGGATTTCTCCTTTTTCCTTGTTTCTCTCCAGCGCTGTTCGTTTTTACTGTTGCGCTGCGATGAGTCTCTCGTCAGAGTCCCTCTCTCCAGGCTAGTCAGCTTTGTGAACAGGTTCTCGCCCCGCGTGCCACCTCTCAGATTATGCACCTGCCGCCCGGGGAGCTGAGAAAGGGCCTCTGCCTGAGTCCCGCTCAGGAGCTTGAACAGCCCTGCCTGAACTTGGGGAGGTGGCAGTGCGGGAGCCGCCGGGAAGCTTAGGGATGTATTTTCTCCTGTTGCAGGAAGCGGGTGAGCAGACAGGCCTGCCGTCGTGCAAAGGTGCAGCGGCAGGGAGGCTTTGCACGGTCCCTGCCTTGTCGCGGGTCGGAGAGCCGAGGCCACGGGAAAAAAGATGGCCTGATGTGTTTGTCAGGGAAACGGCCGCTTTCCCGGTGGGCCTGCCGTCAGTGAAGGGTCCTGCCGCCTACGCAGGAGTTGGTTAGGGACCGCGGAGCACAGGCGGTGGAAGAGCGAGTGGACGCCGGGCCTGCTGGGTTGTGTCTGTCCTCACCCGCTGTGCACGGTCAGCCAACTGGGGGAGGAGGGTCGAGGTGGCCTCCACGCCAGCCCTGAGCCACCCTGGGCATTGTGGGCATTTTGGGCACGTCAGGCCATGATTCCTGCCTGGGGACGAGCTTGCCGGGTGTCCCCACAGGGCTGAGGTACTGGCAGCGGGGCCCTGGCTGCATTACAATTTTAGGTGATTCTGGTGGTGTCGGTGCAGAGTGGAGAGCCGCGGAAAATCAGAGCGCTTACGGCGTCGCCGAGCGGTGAGGGGTAGAGCGGCGGTGCAGGGACAGCAGGTCACGGACACGACAGTGACTCCCCTCCCCCACCCCCTACCCCTACCCAGACGTCCAGATGCAAGGCTGGCCTCCTCGCCCACTGTCGATCTTGCCGTAGGCAGCTGCTCTTATCTTTATCTCATGGCCAGAAAGGGTGGAAACTAGCGTTTCGTAAGCACCTGCGATGTGGCACACAGGTGTCTTCGTCTGCCCACACGTGGCCTTGCCTACATCTTATAAACGGAAACAAGCTGAGGCATGGTGTCAGAGGCGTGCAGACAGGCCATGACCGAAGGTTTGGAGCCCCTCCTCTCCTGTGCCGTGTGTTCACACCTCCTGGCATTCACACCTCCCAGTGGGCTGCCTGACTGGGCAGAGAGCCCCTGGGTGGGGGGTGATGCCCTCACTCCCGTGGACCCGCACAGGGCAAGGTCGGCCTAGCTGCAGAGGATCAAGTCCGTCTGGGTTCTGCTGTCCCCTCCTGGTTGCCCTCCTTGCCTCGGCCCTGCCCTGTTCTGTGGCCCTGCCCTGTTCCGTGGCCCTGGCCTGTTCCGTGGCCCTGCCCTGTTCCATGGCCCTGGCCTGTTCTGTGGCCCTGGCCACCTGACCACACTTTCAACCTCGGCTCTGTTTCCATCTGATCTACTGCAGCCCACAGACGCTTTTGCTTCAGGAATCTACATATATCGGGAGGAATTCCACCGTAGCTGCCATTTCCCCTGGGGGGGGGTGCTGCGGGGAGGGGTGCAGAAGGGCTGCTGCCGAGGTGTGCAGTGGCCCTCAGAGGGACAAGCCTGTGGGAGGGCAGGGGGTGCCAGCCTCTCGTTTGTTTCACAGTATAAGTGGTGTTTTTATTTTAATTCGGTTAAGACCCCCGAGAAAAATGTATAACACGGTATTAGCCCTGTGACACCCTGTACGGTGGCGGATCAGAGGTACCAGGGCCCACAGAGGGCCTGGACCGCACCTGGTGACGTGTGCCTCGGGGTCCCGGTCTTCAGGGAGACCGTCACTGGTGAGGGCTGAGCCTCTGGCTGTGCTCGGTTTGGGACACTAGCCAAGGTCCCTGCGCTCACTGCCGCCTCCATCAACCTGAGGGCGGTGTGAGGCGTCCCTCCAGCCCTGTCCTTCCTTTCCATGTGTTACGAGGTGCTGCCTCGCTACCCAGGAGGCAGTTCGGCTCCAGCAGGATGAACGCTTCTGTGCCTCTATCGGTGTCCGGATAACACGCCGTCTCCCCACCGTCCTTAGGAAAGGATCCATTAGCGTTTCTTTCTTTCGTGTCATTGTGAACCCCTGGACCGAATCACATGTGAAGGCTCCAGTGGACTGCAATTCTGAGCCTTTTGAAGTTTGGGGATAATGATCCCACCTGTGGCCAGGGGAGCCTCTTTCAGTCAGCGTCCATGTCCCTTTGACGTGAGCCAGGAGTGCTTGGCTATTGCCTCCCCGATGCCAGGACACACTGCACGTGACCTACCCCAGTCCCAGGGCCGCACACTTGTCCGGGAGCCCTAGTTTCTTGTCCTGCAGAAAGCCATTTCAGGACCATGACCAGTCAGTAGCAGTGCTCATTCATACTGACGTGGCCACTGTTTCTAGATTGTTCAGGAACACAGCTTAGTGCTTCTCAAATTTCAGACTGCACGATCTTCACTTCTTCTGTAAGACAACCTGATTTCCTTTCTTGTGGCAGCAGTATAAGTCCTGAGAATCTCTGGAAGGTTCTGTACTCTGCCAGAACAGTACCCTGCGTGTGTGCCGAGCACTGATACTGGGTGCCGCTGGACGGGGAGCAGGGTGGCCTCCCTCCCCATGCGCCCGCAGGGAACCCCCACCCTGCCTGCTGGAGCCAGTCTCATGGGCACAAGGTCCTAACTGTGCCCTCCCGCTTTTCTTCCGGCCTCAACCATTGTTGAATCAGCATCTGAGGATCGTCCTGCCCTGGACGCCCTCAGGAGCCCTTTCCTCTCTCCCTGCAGCCCAGTGATGGTCACTGGCGATGCCTGGGACCTTGGGGAGAAGAGCTCATCCGCATCTGGGACAGGGTCTGTGGCCTCTGGCCCACCCTGTGGTCCCCCTTCCTCCGCCAGAGGGGACATGGGTCCCAGGTGACTCTCCTCTTTATCTAAGAGCTGCCTTCCCCTTCTGCCTCTGGCACAGAGTTGGCTTTGGCCTCCGGTCCTTGCAAAGCACGGTCTGTGGGCCAGCAAATTGGCCTCAGACGTCACATCACCTGGGAGCTTGTCAGGCCCTCAGATTCCCAGGCTGTTACCAGACCCACTTCATAGCACAGTTCCTCAAAACTTAGTGGCTTCAGGCAACAGCCATCTTGTATACTTCATGACCCTTTGTGTCCCAGATTTAGGCAGCTTGCGGCTCTTCTGTTCCAACTCACCTCAGGTTCCAGGCTTCGCAGGGGTGGAGCTGGGTGGGGGCGGGGGTGGGGCAGGGGCAGGACCCCAGGTGGGTGGGGTTGACTCAGGGGGTGGGGGGCCGGGTGAGGCGGTCTTTGGGTGGGGGGTCCCTGGGGGTAGTGTGGGGCAGGGGTGGGGCAGGGTTGGGGCCCTGCTCACCTCCCGCCCGCTTCTCTCCTCTGAAGTCCACACCCAAGTACACTTGCAATTCCCAGCTGTTTCCAGAACGTGGTCATTTAGGGTCTGAGTACTGATTAAAGTTTAAAAAGGACTTTCTTTCTCCATGAATATTTCAAAAAGTCTCACATTTTGGAGCCTGTTTGCAGTAGGAAGCCCATGTGTGGTATGTGTGTGTGTGTGGGTGTGTGAGTGTGGGTGTGGGTGTGTGTCCTTCCCGGAGGGGTGCTACAGGGCCAGCAACAGCCTGTACAAGTGGCTCAGTGCAGTATCGTCATTTTACCAGGGTTTTGAGGGCATAAAAAATAAGAAAGCCAGACGAATATTTTTATGACTGTGCACTCAAAGCGGAACAATTGATGTTGCAGTTTCCAGAGTGTCTTACGTGTTGTGTCTTTGGAAGGATGAAATGTGAATTAAAGAGGTTGATAGAGGTGTTCATGTAGTTCCTAGAAAAGGCAGGACGCCAGGCAAAAAGGTTGATCAAGAAAAGAAAGATGTGGGGGCGCCTGGGTGGCTTAGTCGGTTAAGCGTCCGACTTTCGCTTAGGTCATGATCTCGCGGTTCACGGGTTCGAGCCCCGCATCGGGCTCTGTGCTGACTGCCGGCTCAGAGCCTGGAGCCTGTTTCAGAGTCTGTCACTCTCTCTCTCTCTGACCCTCCCCTGCTCACGCTGTCTCTCTCTCTCTCCTAAGAAATAAATAAAACATTAAAAAAAAAAAAAAAGAAAAGAAAAGAAAGATGTGTTCTCCGTTCCCTTCAAGTCTGTGTGTCTGTTTATGTGTATGTGTTAGACTTGTGGGGGTTGTTTTATTTTATGTTCGGTTATTTTAAGTTTCTTTAGCTTGTCCTCACCCGATGGTCACTCTAATAAAGTTAATTGACTTTTTGTTTTAATGTAAGAAATTTAGAATAGTTTCATACAGGCTAGAGTCTGGAATCCGTTGGCTTTGAGAAATCTTGATTTTTGAGGAAGTCAAGTTTCATGATAATTAGCTAATTTTTATATCTACACCCAAAACCTTTTTTGACAGAAGCGACATTTTCACTATGTAATTCTAAATGTGAAACAAATTTTAAATAGTAATGCCTTCCTCTAACACTGTCTTGCTCAGGACAGACCACTTCTCAGAGGCCGAGGGAAGGCGGTAGCTGCCGGAACCTTCTCACAGCCGCCGGGGCCGCTCTTCTCTTGCTTTGGCTCTGAGTTCTGTCATTCTGAGGTTTTCTACTATTGTTCTATAGCAAGTGGATCTGCCCATTCGGGTGATAGTAAACACTCTTACATACATAACACTGACTATGAATATGTGTACATTCACTTTTAGTCACAAATGTGCGAATCAGGAACTTGTAAGAAAGGTTCCTAGGACCAGACTAAGCTAACAGGACCCAGATTAAATGTCTGCCATTCGACGTTATTCCTCTCTCCTCCCCAGGGTCACCCCTACTTCTCAGTGTGGGACTTGTCACCTCTGAGCTGAGTTGAGTGTAGATCCCAGTTAACGCCCTTCTTAAGTCACAAGGACATAGACGTACAGGCCACCCACTCAGTGTTGGAGCACAGGCGCAGCGAGGGGTAGCGAGCCAGGTCCACGGCCGCGTCCTGGAAGCTTCCTGTTCATGTCTCCTGATTAAGACTCCAGGGTATTTAGGACTAACGTCTGGAATGGCCTGTAAACACAGGCAATGTAGGCGTTTTATTTAAATTTGGTGTTATGTGTACTCTGCTTTGCTTACCCAGTTGTAGCAGTGATCTTTCCTAGAAATCTCCAGTTACAGCTCGACTTTCTTAAAAGTTTTGTGTGTTTACATTAAGTAATTTAAGATCTCACGACCCTGAGATTGGAAGTTACCCGCTCTGCTGACTGAGCCAGCCGGGCACGCCTACAGCTCCACCCTCACCATTTGTGTCCAAGTGGGACCAACTGAGATTTAGATGAAAATTTCCTGAAAAGTGGTTAGTCGGGTATCTTGCATTTAAAAGAATCCGTTACCTTAAGAATGTCTTTGTCTAGGGGCGCCTGGGTGGCTTAGTCGGTTAAGCATCGGACTTTCGCTTAGATCATGATGTTGCAGTTCGTGGGTTCGAGCCCCGCGTCGGGCTCTGTGCTGACTGCCAGCTCAGAGCCTGGACGCTATTTCAGAGTCTGTGTCTCCCTCTCTCTCTGACCCTCCCCTGCTCACGCTGTCTCTCTCTCTCTCTCCTAGAAATAAATAAAAATATTAAAAAAAAAAAAAGAATGTCTGTCTACTTTTCACATGAGTTTATCCTGACATAGGTATGTAAACATATAATTAGGAAATCGTTCATTTCTAACCATTCTTTTATTTTCTAAGTGGTGAGCACTCTGTTAAGGGCTATCAATTTTAACAAGGAAACTCAGTTCAGCCTCTTAATAAACTTGCTGTATCCAGCATACAAGGAGAAATAGATACGAAGCTTAGAGTAAGCAGAGAATGAATCCACATTTTGGAAATCGTGGCTCAGGATGGTGTGCTCGCGTGGTCCTAAAGCTCTGTGTGCTGTTCCCTAAGACCTCATCCTGCGCCCGAGCCCTGCAGCGTAGGTCTGTGTAGAAGCTTCGGGACGTGGCCACACAGCCACTGCCTTCAGGTGGGGAGAATGGAGGACACGGGCCGTGATTGGTAACCAACCCGGACGGGGAATGTCCGTGTGGCAGGGGAAGTGCCCTCCGCAGGTGAGCTGCTCTGTCCCGACGGCACCTGAGAAAGGCGGATGAGTCCTAGCCGTCTTGTGTGGCTTCCCTCCGAGCCAACTCTTCCCGGCCGCTGGGAAAGCATGCCTCCCTTCCTTGGACACCGGTTGTTAACTTGTCATTCGTCACGTGTAAGTGCTTGGGCCACGTCCTCACACTGCCTGATGTGCATGAATAGTGCCCAGGCTGCTTCCGTGAGGTTGGAAGAAAGCCTGGAGTACTCAGGAATGGGAGTTGTTAATTAGGGGACAATCGTGTACGTGTCTGAATAACAAGGCCCAGAGCCCTTTCTAAAGAGACTTTCCCCGAGTTAGAAGATTAGATCACTTACAATTTCAGGAACGTTCTGTAAGGGGCGGGCCTTGTCTTACTCTTTGGTAAGAGTTCTGAGTTTTACTAAGTGATTATCAGTACGCTAAGAAGTGGTCATGTTTTTGTGCAGGGGAAAAAGAAATTGGGATTTATTAACCGTCCTTTCTCTCTTTTTGCCAGATTTAGAAATGGCTGTTGCATACTGGAATTTGGTGTTATCTGGAAGGTTTAAATTTTTAGATCTTTGGAACAGCTTTTTATTGGTAAGTGTCCTTCTGCCTCTTGCTGCGTGTGCCCAGTGTGAGGGGTCAGCACATGACGTGGCGCCCGCGTCACCAGACCAGGGGGTTCTGCACCGCGGCTGCCAGGCAGTCGGCGAGCGGCCGCGGGCTTCGCCGCCGCGCAGAACGGGCAGGGCTGCTCCACGGCCACCTTCCGAAGGGCTCCAGCAGCCACGCGGGACTCTGAGGCTGGCGTTGCAGATGACCTGCAGGCCTCCCTTCCCTGCGGAACCCCCGCCGCCTGGCTCTGGGCTTCCTCTGAGAAATGTGGACTTCCCGAAGCGGCCGTAACACACGTCCCGTGAGCCGACCCGGGCTCCAGACTGTGGATTGTGTCCCGTTGTCCGGCTTGTGCACAGTCCGAGACACGTTAAAGTGCGGTTTGTGACGCTAACCGGGCAGGAGACAGGAGGGCTTAGCGGGCCCCTCAGGAGAGTCTCCGAGCTGGAGGGGCCTCCCGGGCGGGGCGGCTCCCAGCCTGGAGGACGGGAAGCAGGCGTCGCTGTTTGAGGCGTGGGGAGCACCAGCGTCCCCTCCAGCGCAGACAGCCACGTGATGTCGACGTGCCCGCCGCTGCCGTGTTGGCTGCTGTGAGAGTGTGTGAGGCCTGGCGAGGACCGTCTTCCCTCTGGCGGCCGTGCGTGCGGGGTCCTCCTTGCAGAGCGCGGGGAGGCCGCCGTGCGTGTTCACAGCCGCACGTCACATTGACCCCGCTCCACCACGTACCAGTTCTGTGGCCAGTGACCTCTACTGCAGACGTTCCCGGGGGGGGCGGGGGGGGGCTGCGCACGTGCCCAGAGGTGGTGCCCTGGGGACATGCACAGAGCCCTAGGTCTGAGAACGGATAAAAGCGCAGACTGTCAGTGCGGACGAAGGCTCCCAGAGCGCAACGGAAGCGGGTTAATCGAAGCCAGGATGCCAGGCGGGGAACGCAAGGAGGGCTGCAGAAGTCTACATATGATTGGGCAGCTCCTGGGTCATCTCTACCACATGCACGGGGCCGGGTGTGGGCATGGAACACTGTGCTGGGAGGGGGGAGTCGGGGAGGGGAGCCAGAGCCCCTTCAGCCGGGTGGTGAGTCACACACAGATGTGTGTTGTATCTGAAATCCGGAATGAGGGGCGCCTGGGTGGCTCAGTCGGTTAAGCGTCCGACTTCGGCTTAGGTCATGATCTCACAGTTCGTGGGTTCGAGCCCCACGTCGGGCTCTGTGCTGACAGCTCAGAGCCTGGAGCCTGTTTCAGATTCTATGTCTCCCTCCCTCTCTGACCCTCCCCTGCTCACACTGTCTCTCTCTGTCTCAGAAATAAATAAAACATTTAAAAAAATTTTTTTAATGAAATCTGGAATGACGTACTTGTAGGAAACGGCCCATCCCACTGGAAGTGCCACCTCGCGGGCAGAGAAGTACACGTATCCGAGGCCACGAGCCCGTTGTCCCTCACTGTTTGCGAATCAGCGGGGGGTTAGGTAGAGCTTTAAAGCACTGCCCTTCTTTTGAGTGAGATAGATTAATCCCTACTTCACATGTTTATTCTGTTTTTAAATAAGTCTGCTTTTGTGTGTTTGCACGTTGGCATCACCCGGAACTGCCGGTGCTTCTACCACGTGTGATGGCGCCCCCTCCATCACGGGTGTGCGCAGGTAACCCGGCCCCGTGGTCACGGCTCTTTCTCAAGTCTGTTGGGTTTTCTCTCATGTGTTAGGAGCATCACAAAAGGTCAATCCCAAGGGACACGTGGAATCTCCTGCTTGATTTTGGAAATATGATTGCGGACGATATGTCTAACTATGACGAAGAAGGTACGGAAGTTGTGGTGCTTCAGGTGATGGCCAGAGATGCTGGTGCGCAGACTGCCTTCCCCTGCCCCTGGGGCGCAGGACGGGGGTGACCCCAGGCACCCCCCCTTTGTGTAGTGGCGGGGGTGTGGTCGTGGTGACAGTAGTGCCCTCTTTCTTCCGTCCTGTCAACCACATGAGAAAGATAGGCCTTCATATTTAGTTTAATTCGGGAGGACGGTGCCCTAACAAAAGTGTTTCAGAAGTGGACGTGCAGGGGCCCTGCGGCAGAACCGTGGGACCACACGGGTGTTTGGAAGCCGCTCTCCAGGCACGTAATCCTGGGTGGCGCCTCAGGCTAGAAACTCCGTCACCTGAAGATTCGGCCGGTATTTACCTACGTGAACATGATCATATGTCCGTGGTCCTCACCCCCAGGTATTTGAGGACGGTGGCTCAGGGAGCATTTGCGCGCCCGCCGCTGTGGGCACTGGGCCGCCTTAGGGAAGGGGGTGCAGCCCCGGCCCGCCCACCGCGTGCTTCCTCAGCGCCCAGCTTGGAGGCGACCCGTCCGGGCACCTCTGGCGTTGCAGGTCTGTGTGCGTCCTGCGCACTCAGCACAGAGCGGGCGCTTAGTAAATGTGTGTGAGTGAACAGTTGCCCGTGGATGAAAGCCCAGCTCTCAGGAGCGGCCGGTCTGCACGGGAAGGGCCTGCAGCTTGCGGTGCGTGTGCTCCTGGCCAATGGGCGTGGTCCGGGCCACCTGGGGTGGTTGGGGGGCTGGGCCCAGAGTGGGAAACGCTCAGAGAGAAAAGGACGCAGTGTTTTGCAGGGAGGGTGGAGGGCCCTGAGCCTTGTCCTGACTGCCGGGGACAGGGGCCGGGCCTTGCGGCCAGCTGGCCCCACGTGCCAGGTGGCTAGAGGCCGTGTCCGCACGGGAACACCGGTGCTGGCCCCGCATTCCTGGCCACTAGAGGCCATGTCCTTACGGGAGGGCCGGTGCTGGCCCCGTGTCTGGCGGGAGCAGGAGGAATGGATCTCCGCGGCCAATCCCTTCAGAGAGATGGGCTGTGAGGCGACTTGCTTGAGTTTCTGAAATACAAATATTGACGGTAGAAAGAATGCTCCGGATATAAAAAATAGTGCTCTAAACTGGTGATATTTTTAAATCTGTGTTTGCTTTCCTGTAGGAGCGTGGCCTGTTCTGATAGATGATTTTGTAGAGTACGCACGGCCAGTCGTGACGGGCAGTAGGCGCCGCCCTTTCTAGGCAGAAAGGGAGGATGAGCCAGGACACTGACGGCAAGCACCTCCTCCGGGGAGCCCCGGCACCCGCACAACCTCCCCCTGCACAAGGAAAGGGCCCGTGGACGCAGAAGGAGCTCCTCAGAAGGCGCTGCTCTGGGATGTCTGGTCCCCTGGCTGTCGCTTTAGGATATTGCTGCATGCTTTTTACCATATCTGTGGAAAAGTCGCCCAGAGCATGTTTGCAGAGCTGCAGAGCGTGCGGTTTACTGGGCGGTGCCCGTGACCACGCGGCGCACACGCTCCTGCCCAGCCCGGCACCACACCACCCGCGAGGCAGCGTTTGTGTCCCTGGGAGGACGGCGCTCCCTTCTGCGGGCCGGAGCCGCCGCCATCGAGCCCCAGGGGAGATCTGAACGTGGGTCCTAACACTTTTAAACGTGGTGCCAGGAATTCAAGATTTCTATTTCCTGAATTATCAAATATCTGGATTTATTTATTTTTATTTTAATTTCCCGTGGACGTCCGTGTGAACGTCCTTCCCCGCTGCCTGCAGTGTGAATCCAGGGATGTTCTGTCATACACCGTTCACGAGTCGGCCCCTGTCCCGTCCACTCTCATTTGAATGAGCTTCCGAAAAAAAATTTTTTAAAGTATGCTTTAAAGAAAATGTATTTTATTACATTTAAAAAGACATTTTTCCCCAAAAAGCATTTTTTTTGTGTGCAATGGATTATAGATTCAAAAATGGAGTGACTTGGTTCCTTCCAGCCCCCTGCGTGGTTGCACACACTCGGAGGCTGTGATCCACACCATTGCCCGAGACCCCAGACGGGACGGCCCCGCCTCATTCACGTCCACCGTGGGTGTCAGTCACGTTACCGTCTATCAGGAGGCCGTCCGCTGAAGCACGGACTCTGCTGCGCTGTCTGATGGTGGAGCCTGTGGCGTTACCCGCTCCTCCTGCTGGAAAAGCCCCCGTGTGTCCTAGAAACCCCTGTGCGGACCCTTCGTCATGTTTGAAAAGATCTTCACGTCGCAAGCACGCCTGCTGTCCTGCCTGTAACCCCATTTATGAGACGACTAAGTTGGGGTCACCTCACGGGAGAGGAAGTTCACTGTGGACTTTCTGTGAATGGAGAGCGTGCCTAAAATTTGTAGTTTGATGTGACTTTCAAAACTGGATCCAGCGTTTCAGGAAGTATCTGTGCCCCGTGGGAGGGGTCTGTGTACTTGCTGTGTGTGAACTGTTTATCCTTGTGAAGAGGAGTCTTTCCGAGAGACCCCGGGCTGTCCAAGGGGGAAAGGAGGCTCGGCGCCTGCCGGCCACAGTCTGGGCTGGGTCGGCCCCTACTTAGGCGCACGGCTGCATCTCATGGCGTCTCCTGGGCCTGTCCGTCCACGTCTGCGACAGGATCTACAGGGCTGTGTCTGCCCGTGAGCCTGTGTTCTGAGAGAGCACGTACTTTATATAGTGAAAACCTCAACAGCTTTAAAGCACCCTTCGAGACTTCATGGCGTCTCACCATGGTTCTCAGAGGAGGCTGTAGGGCTGCAACACCTTGTCATTCTTAAGATTCGAAGTTATGGGAGGGGAGGCTTCTGTGCAACTAACTGTTCCTCAGTAGATAACAGAACATTAGTGGCTGGACAGAGGCTCTTCAAGATCTCGGGTTTCTTCTATTCTGTACATTTAAGGTGTGTGAGCCATGGAACGTGCTAAGAGCTTTGGAAATGTTGAAGTAAATCATTTTCTCTGGCGTGGTGGTGGTGGAGGCCTCGTAACTCTGTTCTCGATCGCTGAGGTGCTGCTGGACGCCAGGGGCCAGCAGGAAAACGGCCCCTCTGGGGACACCCACCATGTCCAGCCTGCCCCCTCATGTAGATGGTGGCGCCCCGACGCACAGTTCGGCTGTTTAGTTTCCTTTTCATGGCCACATAGTGTGTTAAATAATACGGTTGTGTGTGTGTGAAAAGCTGTAGCTCTCTCGTAACCGGCTGACTTTCCCGAGCTACTAGGCATCCTGTGGCAGGACCGGTGGACATGCACACCGGGAATGTGTGGAGAACACACGAGTCCCCCGGGTAGAATAGGCTGAATAAAGACCTGTGACCTGTGCCTCCTGGAATAGACGTGACCCCGTCTCCATCTTGGGGACCAATCCGTGTCGCTGCCTTGCTTGAACTTCGTGCAAGTCCAGGTACGACACTGCAGGCTGCGTGGGGTGAGGTAAGGTTCAAGGCGCACGGCCAGGGTTCAGCAAGTGCTGCTGAACAAGGTAGGGGACAGTGCGGGGTCACTGCTGGCGACCTCAGTAAAGGTTTCCACGGCCTCAGGGTCAGCAAGAGAAATGAGCAGCAAACCTCCTCTCCCTCAACAGTAGCTGTTTCTGCCAAACGACACTCTTCCACCCACCAAGGGCAGTTGTCTGAATAGAGGGCTGCAGTGTGCACAGGCGGCTCGCGGGACTCGCCCCCCTACCCCGGGGGGGCCTCTGCTGGAATAACGTTTCAGAGCCTCCTTTGTAACAAGTGCTAAGTTGACGCTCTGTGTGCTCACATGCAGCTCAGTGTCTTGTTATTATGAAAGAAGTGTTATTTTTTTAAAACGTTAACTCATTTTTGAGAGAGACAGAGAGAAAGAGAGCATGCACACCCAAGTAGGGGAGGAGCAGAGAGAGAGGGAGACACAGGATCTGAACCTGGCTCCAGGTTCTGAGCTGCCAGCGCAGAGCCCAACACAGGGCTCCAGCTCGTGGGCTGTGAGATCATGACCGAGCTAAGTCGGACACTCAACCAACTGACCCACTCAGACACCTCAAGAAATGTTATTTTTATCACATGTGCTGCTTAGGTCCAGCTGTGCTGGGCCTCACTTCTACTCCCGTGAGTGAGCAGGCCCCAGGGGGGAGCGAGGGCCCGTGAGGGGTCGGCTTCCTAACTTCTGATTCCAAACCCAGGGCCTGGTTTGCACATTTGCACGCCAGCCTCCTCCTACCCCTCAGCGCCCTCTTGGGGGGTCTGGATCTGAATCGGGAGCCGGCAGTGTCTGAACACTGCTGCAGTCTGGAGCCTGGCGGTGGGAGAGGCTTTTGCTGCACGTGCAATGGGGAGAGGGCTCCGTGACCCGCCACACGGGCTCGAGGGGCCTCTCTCCTGTGCACTGTGCATTTTCTGAGTTCTCTACCAAACACGTTCTGTCCTCAAAAAGTTTCCCAAAAAATAAAACCGTGTGTATAATGGGTGAAACTCCACGTTATGCTGAGTGAGAGAAGCCAGACAGGAAGGCCACACAGGCTACGATTCCACTTACTTGAAACTCTAGAAATGACAGAGCTGTCGGGGCAGAAGGCGCACAAGCGCTCCCAGGGGGTGGGGGGTGGGGGGAGGGGGACGGGCAGACGACGCCAGGGGACTCCGGGAGGGCGGTGCGCTGAGCGCGGCTGCGGCCGGGGTCCGTCCCGGCGTCCTCCAGGCGGAGCTCTGTGGAAACGGCCCAGGAGCCGTGAACGGCGCGCGCCTTCCAGAACGAGGGCTCAGGCTTAGAGGTCGCCGCCCCGCGGGGTGGCGTCTGCAGCAGCTGTTCGGCCGCTGACTCAGGCCGCGGGCGCCACAGGGTGAGGGAGCCCGTGTCTGAGCCGCCGCCGGAGGGAGGGACGCCGTCCACGCGGCTCCTCGCGGGGCGCAGCGGAGCCGGCGCCGTCCTCACCGGCCACCCGCAGAGACACCGGGGACACGCCCCGGCTGCTCAGAGCTCCTGCCCGCAGCACGGGGACGGGGACGGGCAGAGGTCAGCGGGGCGCACGGAAGGCCGCTCCGCGGGGCCCGGGGGCTGAGCGCGGCCCGAGATGGAGAAGTTCAAGGCTGCCATGCTGCTGGGGGCGGTGGGTGACGCTCTCGGGCACAGAAATGCCCGCAAGGACAGCGGCGCTTCCGGCAGGAAGGTCCAGGAGGAGCCGCGGCCGAATGGGGGCCCCGACCAGCCGGTGCCATCCCAGGAGAGGTGGGCGGTGAGTGACAACACCATCATGCACCTGGCGACGGCTGCGGCCCTGACCACAGGTAAGCGGGCCACCCTGCCCCCAGCGCCACCGGGGAGCCCCCAGCTCTGTCCCAGACGCCCCTGCCCAAAGGGGTTTAATGCCCACCAGCGTCCCTTTGGATTATTTTGCTGTAAATAGTGACTCTCCACTATTGTGTTCATACGACGTCTGCTAGGCTGAGCCTGGCGTCTCCAGGGTTAAAACTAGGTAAATCTGCTTTGGGTCTGTTTGGTTGAGGGTTGAACCCTGCTGAGGGTTCACCTTTTCACTGCAGATATTAAGCCTTCTGATTTTATTTTAAAAGAATATAAAATAATAAGTCCACTTGAAATTTGGGCCCATTAAGATAATATTGTTTGGGCATTACTTCTTTTTTTTTTTTTTTT